TACAAACATTGGCCATAGCCAGTATAACCATTTGGAATGTCCTGAAGAAGAAAGAAACCACTGGTGTACTAAGCAACAGACGTCGCACAGGTAGACCAAGGAAAACATCAGCAGTTGATGACAGAAACATTGTGAGAGCTGTAAAGAAAGACCCTAAAACAACTGTTAGTGACATCAGCAACAACCTCCAGAGGGCAGGAGTGAAGGTATCACAATCTACTGTTCGCAGAAGACTTCATGAACAAAAGTACAGAGGCTACACCAGATGATGCAAACCACTCATTAGCAAGAAGAATAGGAAGGCCAGGCTGGAATTTGCCAAAAGGTACAGAGATGAGCCTCAAAAATTCTGGGAAAAAGTTTTATGGACTGAGGAGACAAAGATTAACTTTTTCCAAAGTGATGGAAAGGCGAAAGTTTGGAGAAAGAAAGGATCTGCTCATGATCCCAAACATACCAGCTCATCTGTGAAACACGGTGGAGGTAATGTCATGGCTTGGGCTTGCATGGCTTCTTCTGGGACGGGCTCTTTCATCTTCATTGATGATGTAACACATGATGGCAGCAGCAAAATGAACTCAGAAGTCTACAGAAACATTTTGTCTGCTAATTTAAAGAAAGATGCAACCAAACTGATTGGGAGATCCTTCATCATGCAGCAAGATAACGACCCAAAACACACTGCCAAAACAACAAAGGAGTTCATCAGGGGCAAGAATTGGAAGGTTTTAGACTGGCCAAGTCAGTCTCCAGACTTAAACCCAATAGAGCATTCATTTTACCTGCTGAAGAGGAGACTGAAGGGAGTAACCCCCCAAAACAAACAACAACTGAAAGAGGCTGCAGTGAAAGCCTGGAACAGCATCACAAAAGAAGAATGCAAAAGTTTGGTGATGTCAGTGGGTCACAGGCTTGATGCAGTTATTGAAAGCAAAGGATTTGCAACTAAATATTAAGTCTCATTCACTTTAATCTATTGTAAGTTTATATGTTCCAATACTTTTGCTCACCTAAAAATTTTGTGTTCCATTACAAATAATGCTATCTTCTAAGTTGTGTATCAGATGCAGATGTAAATACCTGGAAATAAAAGCTGAAATGTTGATCTCTTGTCTCATATTCATCTTTTGATGTCAAACCCAAATGTTTTCAGTCTACAACAAAAGTAAACGAATTGGACTCACTGTTCCAATACTTTTGGAGGGCACTGTATATCCCCCAAAATCCTACACACTGGACTTTAAAGCTCAAGAGGAAAATAAAGCTTGCCGGGAGTATTTTTTACAGTCACACATGCCTGGAGTATAAAGAAAGTAATTCAAAATCATTCGTCAACAAAAGAGCTTTTGCTGCTTATTCTGGGGGACTAACACCGGAGAAATTACTTTTCTGTTGGTGTTTAAAAATTGTACACACACTGTTTGGGGCCTGCGACATGACTTATTATTTGGCCAGCCGTCTTTGGTAATAAAAGAGAGATACTACCGTGAAATGGGTCTCTAAATCAAACTGTTTTGTTTTCCACCAGTAAGGTGTAGACAGGGGGAGTTTATGTTGAATTTTTGTTGTTTATGCACTTTGTAACAGGACTGTGACATATGTATGACATGCGCATAGGCATACATTTTTTTTTTTTGAAGGGAGGCAGGGGACACATCCTCCTCAATATCAAGAACATGTGCATTCGTTAAGTGTCAAAATATTCACCAGAATGCAGGAAATGATGTGTTTGATGCTCAACATTTCCAGGGGTAGGACCCCTAATCCCCCCATTACATATATCCTTGACAAAGTACACTGAAAAATAACCATAAACAATAATGAATGTTTAAAATGCTTTATACTCCCGCCCCTCCGCTCGCTGTTTGTCACGCAGTTCATTCCACTAAATGCACTGTTGCGTTCTTTGCTGTAGTTCGAGCCACACATGGATGGATGTGTGCGGGAAGGCAGCTGGCTAAACCTCAGCATCTCCTGGGAGGCAGAGGCGGAGGAGCTCTGGCCTTGCTATCAAAATGTCCAACCTGGCAGCTTCTTCCCTGGCACTGGATTCGCCATTTTTAACACCTCAGGTGGAAAAATTGGGTTCTATTATACAAGACACGGACAAGCGCTAACACTCCTTCATGTAATAACAAGCTTTCCATCAGGCCTAGATGATGCATTCTTGCATGACATAGCATCTCCTGTAGAAATATACTTGTATTTATAATATACTGTATTCATATTCTATTAATTTGTCTGAGTTATTCTTTTGTCCTCTGCAGTTTTCCCCTTTGAGGCAGATCATGGGGTCAAGACTGAATTGTGGGGAGATTTCAGTAAGATGGATGGAACCATTTTGAGCATCAAGGCTCCTGGGCAGGAGCTGATGTTCTCTTTAGTGGCCAATAATAACACAAAGGTATGCACATAAATCAGACATCAGCCAAAGTGAATTTGCTAATAATTCCTAGCATCTGTTAAAACCGCTCATGGCAGTGTACTGGTGGCTTACATGAACATTTGCGTCATGCAATCCCCATCACACACACACACACACACACACACACACACACACACAGATTGATGGCCGCTGTGAATTCATCCACAGAGTTATGTCAAGTTGTTTCTGCTGCCTCTCTCTTGAATTTGCAGGAGGTCATGGTCACTTTTGGTGAAGAAAAAAAAAGTATGAAAGATACTTTCAAGAGGCTGGTGATAACCTTTGAGACAGATTTGCTGCAAGTGCTTCAAGATGAAGATGAATCAAAGACTACTACGTTACCTATCAGCCCAGTGAGCCACCCCGGTTACTTGACCACATGGAGAGAGGGTCATCTCGCTGTTGGAGGTCTCCTAGGTGAGATTAAACAGCGATGATGTGCAGTGTGTCACAAAACTGTCCACTGTTTAGACTGGACAAGGAGCACAGTGGAGTGCAATTAAGGTCACCCCTGTTTTCTTATTCCTCTTCTTTCACTTTTCAGGTGAGGATGAGGAAGACGGCTCACAGTTCTTGACAGGGTGTCTGGAGAAGATCCAGGTCCAGGGGAAGGATTTGGACCTGGATTTAGCCATCAAACACATGTCCATCTCCTCTCACAGCTGTCCTGCATAGACCATGAAAGTACGGATGTTCAACATGTGGACTCATGTGGATTGCTTCTGGTGGATGTGTTTGGGTCCAAATTACGTGAAAAGAAAACGCAATGTGGGTGAAGGGCAAAATTGTCTGCAAAATGAAAGAGACACAGTGGCCTCTACGAAGCATAATGATATACTAAACTCTTTTATTAGGCCACTAGTAGTCGAATGTGGTAGCTATTTGTACCAATTAACCTCTAATATGTGGAGAATTTCCAATAAATTTTTAATATATTGTTCTATAGATATCTCTCCATTGGCCTCCTTTCAACAGAACATGCTGATTAATTTGAGCAATGTGACCTTCATAAGTGCGACAGTCTGGTTCTAAATAAAATATGATTCTCTTTAATATAGTGATATATGAATACAAAATTTTGCTTCTACACTGAAGGCAAAATAAAGAGCTTTCGGGAGATTTGAACACTGATGAAGCACTAATGTTGAATAGATACAGAGTGGGATGAGTGAGACAGAGAATTAAGACATGGATTTTGCTCCCTCTAGTGGATTGTAAAAGGTAATGTTAGAGTCATAACACCCACTCTGTGTATGATGCTACCCATATAATAAAACAACACTAGACTAGTGTAAAATAAATAAAATATTACTTGTCATCCAGGAGGAAATAGTCTATAATGTTAAGGAATAAGCACAAATGTCACACTGCCAAAGTCCGAGGTTCTTTTTTCTCTTTATTAAATGTTTACAAAGTGGAAATATATTACATATGCCTGCACAAGTCATGTTTTGAGTTGAATAGACATAGAGGGAAAAAAGGAATGAGACCAAATATTCATTATGCCTGTGGCTCATAATCAGAACACTTTTGATAAATGAATTTGATAAATGTTTAAGATATATTCTTGTGAATTAATCGGGATATTATGTGTGTGTGTAATGTATTTAAATTTATGATAGACTGAAGAGAAATAAGCTTAAATTTTTTATCTTTTTTTGTCCAAAATTCAAGCAGAAACGTTTAAGACATTATTGTTATTATTATTATTGTTAGTAGTAGTAGTAGAAGTAGCATATTTTACTTCATGTTCATATTAAAACAAATCATGAAAATAAATGACACGCCACGCAAAATGATCGCGATACTATGATGTATCTATTTTTCTTCCCGTGGCAATATCGTACTGATACACAGATGCCAAGCAGCCTATCCATTTTTTGTCTATGAAATATTAATATTGCAAATAAAATTTAACTTTTGGTAGCCCACTAGAATAATGAAATGAATATTCTTTACTTTTCACTAGATATCTTACTTATTGTTGCAATAAAAATAACTGAAGTGAGATAAACAGACTGAAAACTTTATCTTATTGGATAAAAGGGACATAATTTACAGTTTAAAAAAGGTATTAAATTGCTAAATATGTTATCGCAATACTTATCGTATTGCAAAATGTTTAAAGTTGCAATAATATTGTATAATGACTAGGCCTAAATATACTGATAATATGATATGGTGGAGCCTTTGGTGATTCCCAACCCTAATCTATAGCCTAAATAAAATGTTCACTCACTGAAATCAAAAGTTTTTATCTTCAGTGGACTTCACATTTAATCAGATTTTGACTAAAGCCAAAATTTAGAATAAGAAAACCGATTTAAGACAGACATAGGCCTAAAATCAAATATGAAGGCTTCACTTTATAAATATTAACGTTTGATTAAGTGTTCAAATTATATTCGAAACAATTCCATAATTTACAAACAAGTGTAAATCTTAAAAATTATGTTATAGTGATTAATTTTATGTATTACAGAAATGGGTGTGGTGCAGTTCAACTTTATCACTTGCGGTAATCTACCGGCTGCCGTAACGTTAGCTACTGTCGCAAACCCCGACTGTCGTGAATACTGGCCGCCCACTGAAGATGGCGGCGGAGCTGCATCCGCGGAGCGGAAAGCTGATCGGCCTGTCCAACTCGAACCGGACCGCCCGGCGCAACCAGCCAGTCCAGGAGTTCAACCATGGCCTGGTGCTTAGCAAGGAGCCACTGAGGGACCGGGATGTCTTCACCGTCCGCATTGACAAGAAGGTAAACAACAACAGGCCCGCCGCTGATGCGTCTCCTGAGCGGGGATGAGAGCAGCGGGAATGCGGGAGCGGAGCTTTGCAGGACGGGCCGGGGGTCTGTGTCTGTCCGCAGTGAGGGGCTTCCCCTGCACTGGGCGGCTCACACTGCCTGACAGCGACCACGGTGGTAGCGATTCTTGTTAGGTGCATTACAGAAACTGTCAGTGATTTAGCAGAGACAGGTGGACTAAATAAAAACATTATTTTGTGTTGGTATGTTAAACGGATCATTTGGCTAGCGATAGCCTGCTGGTGTTGCTCTGGTACCGTCAGTTAGCCATGCTAATGAGCCGTTAGCAGTAGCAAGCAGCGTGAGCTCAGGCTAGCCGGGGCTAGCTCTTCTGGAAGGTGCTGTCGGGGCTCTGCTGCATGTTGACAAGGACTTACTGTTGCTTGTTTTACTACAGGAGCTCAATTGAGTTTGTTAACAAGGCTCTGTTTAGTTTTGTTTTGAGGGAGTCGGTGACAGCCGTGGGTGCCTGTCACCTTCTCTGCCTGTCTGTCCTGTCGGCTAATAATACTGCAGTGCTCATACCAGACCGTTGGGCTATTACAGGGACTCAAAGGCTGTGTGTGAATCTAAATAGGCACAAAGGCGTAGAATTAGTCACTGCTATCTGCTACTAGTGTCATTTATATTATTCAGAGTGACATGCTACTATCCACACACACATCATGATCTAAACACAAAGCATATGCAGACCTACCAGCACTGATCAAGCAGTAGTGGTGTAATGCATGACATGGAGCTGACCACTAAAAGCTATAACTCATTAATCACTGGTGCTGGGATCTTTAAACATACACTCTTCTAGTCAATGCAGGGGCATGCACTCTCATTTAACTCATGTGTCACTTATTATTCATTGCACTTTTAAGATATTTGACAAAGAATATGAACCAATTGGAGTACACATTTATCATCCTGCTGTCTTTTGTCCATATGGTCCTTTGATTTATCCAAATCCAGATATGATAGGGTACATATTGATCCAGAGAACATGATTCATTTCTCACACCTAATGAGAAAGGTCCCCCTCTTATTCTAAAGGGAAAATGACACATTTTCCACCATAAATATGTCCTTTACCATCTCCATCCATTATTTTAGAAGCTCTGTTTTATACTAGTTTTTACTGATTGCATTTTTGCAGGCAACCAGTAAAAAAGACACAAGCAGCTCACTATCTTGCGGTCCATAAAGATAACATAACCAAGAATCTATCTTTAAGTCAAACATATATTCCCCTAGAATATGTTCATCTTTTTACATGGTCAGCTCCACTGATCAGTATTTATTTTTAGTGAGGCATGGTGAAAGAGCTAAATAAATTCCTCCATTCACCATTTCCTTGAATTTACAGCTTCCATGTCCACTTCAGCATAAGTGCTTATCTGTGTCTTGTGCTGCGTTGTCTTGAGACTCTGGCCTCACCATATCATATCGAAGCCTGTGCACAGTGTTTACATTTCGGCTGTTATCAGCACAGGAGAGCTTGTCTGTTGTAATGGCTACTGCCTCTGCAGTCTGCAAGCCTACTGGGTTTATCAACAACATGGCAGCTCTGGAGCTCACGCCAGTGCCAACTAGGCCACACACACACCCTCTGAATGACGGTGTGTACGGCCAAGATGAGACAAGTTAGATCTACAACGATGAGACAGAGCTTCATGTGAGCCAGTGAGGCTAACGTGGTTTAATAGCACTTACTGCACATGAATGATTACCCATCCCTGATGGTCCTCTCAGGCCCGTCATAAACAGCCCCATGCTCTGACATGACATGCAGCGCCTGTCTGAGGATCAATACTTTCCCATCACAGGGCACCCAGATTGGCATGCCTGCCCATCCCGTCTACTGACATCCACTGAGCTACAGTGGATGATGGAAAATGAGTGCAAGAGGATGAACACATGAAGTGATTTATTGGACAGACAGTTTGCCCAGAGTAGGACGCTGTCAGTGGTTTAGGGTTTGTATTTAAAGCTGTGGCTGTGATCTAGAGGAATATCACATATTGTACGTTTTAGGGAAGTAATGGTTTTAAACTGAAGATGATCTATGACCTGTAGTCTATCAGCAGGCTATTAGTCACAAACAGTCTCTAGTTCAAGCCTTTTAGGTGTAAGGATTTGCTGATTATTAATCTTGTATCATATGAAACTGGAGATTTTTTGTAGTTTTGTACTGGTGATCGGACAAAACAAGCTATTTGCTACATGTCACCTTGTGTTTGCATGGATTTGTGACTATTTTAGAGTCTAAACTGCTTTTTGCAGATGATTGATAGTGAAAATAACTGTTGATTGCATCACTGTAGCCAATATTAGATTTATCATGCAACCTTAATATCATCTTGTTCTGTTATTAGTTTCATTGTTGCTTAATCTGTCAAATATTCTGTCGATTAATCAGTAAGTTGCTTGGTTTTTAAAATGTCGGAAAGTGGTGAAATATGTTGATAAGTGTTTCCCAAAGCCCAAGATGACATTCTTAAACATTTTGCTTTGTCCACAACCCAAAGATATTAAGTTTACTGTCACAGAAGACTAAAGAAATCGAAAATATTCAAATTGAAGAAACTGGAATCAGAAAATTTTGACTTTTTTCCCTCAGAAAATAACTCAAACCGATTAATCGATTATCAAATTAGTTGGAAATTAATTTAATAGTTGACAACTGATCAATTATTTGATAAATTTTTGCAGCTTTACTGTTGAAATAGCATTATTAGGATCTTTAACACAGTATATTCTAGGAATATAAGGCTTAGACTAATAAAATTATGAGGTTATCAAAAGAATTAAAGAAGAGCTGGCAGCATATTGATAAAAAATCGATATTATGAGTTGAGACTAGATAGCGTCTTAGCTTTTGGACAGTGTTATATCACAAGTGTTGTCTTTTCCTGGTCTTAAAGGTTGTGTTACAGTAAAGTGATGTCATTTTCTGAACGTACCACACTCTTCCATTCTAGTTTTATTATTTCCGTTTAGCTACTTAGTCATTGTGTCCGCATTACTGAGGATTATTTATCAGAAATCTTGTGTAAATATGTTGTAAAAGCACCAATTTTCAACCCTAAAATATCATCACATTAGGTATTTGGTCAAAAATGTTGTGATGATTGATTTTCTCCATGTCACCCAGCCATAAATGAAAGTATCAGCACATTAAGTGTTTTGTAATAAAAAAAAATCTGTATTAAAAATATATACTTTCTCTGTCAAAACCATGTTAATATTTTATACGGCAGTAAAACCTGGCTGTTAAAATTTTAATAATTCCCTCTACAGAGTTCAGCTGTTACATTTTGTCTCTCTGTGTTTATATGGTCTGTTGGATGAGAAGCCTTCTCTGCTCTGAAGTCCTTTCAGTGCTTCCCAGGCTCTGCTTTTGATGCAATTAATTTTTCATTCTCTTCAAAAAGCTGTCCAGTGGTCATACTCCGCATGTATCCTGTAGTTATTGGTCTTTTGAACAGAGAGAGAGAGAGAGAGCAAGAGAGAGAGAGAGACTGAGAGGCAGACACCCACAGGCTGCCGTTACATAAGTGAATGAGCAAGAGAAGGAGATGTCTGTCTCCTCCACACAGCGACCCGGTCAGGCTGAGTTACTACTAAATCTGTTAACCCAGATACCCGGGCTTTCGTAGCACACTGCCTTACATAGCACCTGCCACAGAGCTGAGGAGGACACAACGAGAGCAGACGAAGGAGAGGAGGCAATGTAAAAGGCAGTGTTGTAAAAACAATGATGTTTTTCACGGAGGAAATCTTTTTTTGTTTTCTTGGCACGGATGTGAGCTGCAGAAAAACACCTCAGGGGCTGGTCAGGCTTCAATGTTATACTCAAGGTCACGTCATCAGGGTGGATTTCTGCCAACTTTAACTGGAGTCCCGTGGAGTATCGGGGGGGAAAAGAAAAGGAGAGTAGCTGGAGATTAATCTTTCCGATGACTTATGACTGAATTCTTTATCTTGAGGAGCAAACTGCATGGCTTTTTGCTGGGCGTGTTTATCCGGAGGGGCGGCGAGAGGAGTGCAGCGAGCCAGGCAATCACTCCTCAGCAGGATGATGTGGGTTCGTGCCCCTTTGTCGGCGAGCATCTGCTGGGCTGAAGTGTCTCTGAGCAGGACTCTGAATCCCCACCAGCTGCACTGACTCTGCTCTGCAGTATCGCTGACTCTGCATCCTGTCGTCCACATAATGGAGGCAAAACACATGAAACTCAGAAATGACCCCAGGAGATCAATAAAGTATCACGTTATTGCGAGCTGATGTTGAGCTTCGTATTTCTGGGAAGACATGGATATCTTCAGCTGCGTGTCATGTGATAGGATTCCAGTGTAATGCGAAGGCGAGAGGAGTTTTGCAGTGAAACATTTGTTTGGTGTTTTCATGTCTTGAATCCTCCATGGAAGGCGAGATCATGGAGGTGAAGCTTGCTTGCTTAGACAGTGTTTGCTTTTTATCTGTGTTTTTATGAAAGCACTGGTAGTCAAACCTCTTGTCATTGTTTTAGTGGACAGAAGATAACATGATAAAGGAGATGGGAGCTGGGACTGTCATATGGCAACTCTTTATTTATTCTTTTTATTGGAACAAAAAAGAAAATGGCTTGACCTTTCGGGTCTTTGTCAGGCAAATGTCCAACATGACAAAGGATCATGTGTACACGCAAACACTGATTACAGTCGTCTGATTTCATGGTCAACTGAATAAACAAAGAAGTGCAACACTTACAGTATGAGGTGCCAGCACTGCATGCGCTATTTATAGCTCTTTAATCTGGTCTCCTGCACCTGATCTATATATAGTACAGCATGTGCACTCTACTACAACTTTAAGTATGAAAATGTATGAACATCTAATTTTGGAAGTTGGATGCAGGTGCACTGAGAGATGAGTTAATGAATTAGTTTGACCCTGGATTCACGTTTTAAGCGCCTGGTACTAGACATGCAACCATTGCCACTGCATGCTGCCATCACGTAGCTCAGTTTTCATCAAGCGTTTGTTTCTGTTGTGTCACCGTGTGTTCGCACTGTTCTGCTTTATTTTCAAAGCAGCGCTCCCTGAGCGATGCTCTTCACTGACAGAAGGACTAAAAATAACAAGATGGATCATACAACAAGGCGCTCTTTGTTTTCCATAGATATCTACCTGCAGTTTTTAGCACAGCGCTTCAGTCTTTCAACATCACAGCTCAGATGCTGCCACTCTGGGTGTTTTTGTGATCAGAGTCAACAGCTGCTGACAAGGGTTTTGTTACAACTTATTGTAGCTGCTACTATCTCCAAAATTCATATCTCTATAGGACTCATTCTAGGATATATCAGTAAAAAATGTCATGTTTTGGTAACTTGTGAAGGTCATGACATGGCATTATTTGAGTCATATTACATTCCTTTCCTCTGTATCCCCCCAGGTGAACTCTTGGAGCGGTTCCATTGAGATTGGCGTGACGGCACTGGACCCCGCCGCGCTGGACTTCCCCAGCAGCGCCACAGGCCTTAAGGGCGGCTCCTGGATCGTTTCGGGCTGTTCGGTGCTACGTGACGGCCGCTCCGTCCTGGAAGAGTACGGCCGCGACCTCGACCAGCTAGCCGAGGGGGACCGGGTGGGCATTCAGCGCAGCTCACGCGGTGAGCTCCACCTCTGGGTAAACGGGCAGGACTGTGGTGCGGCAGCGAGCGGCTTGCCGCCCAAGCTCTGGGCAGTGGTGGACCTGTACGGCAAGTGCACTCAAGTGACGGTGGTGAGCTGTGAGCCGCCGCCACCCTCTGCGGAGAAAGAGACAATAGAGCGGGACGAGGAAGTGGATGATGATGAGGAAGAGGAGGAGGAGGAGGAAGAGGTGGTGGTGCGTGGGGGTCGGGAGGATGCGGGGATCACGGCACTGATGAATGTGGCAGCAATGAATGGAATGATGAATGGAGATGAAGGTAGGGTGCCTTTTTATCACTGTAGTTCATTTTTCATATTCTGGGTTTCATTGTGTTCACCTATTGTATGTTCCTCTCTCCTCCCTGTCAGTGCCTGAGCTTAGCTGCAGTCACAGCAGACCAGACAAGTTCCCAAACAACCTGGAGCCGGACACGGGTAAGAATATCCTCCTCAGATCAGTTGATAGACGTCGTGCAACATGACCTGTATTGACAACCTCCTCTTCCTCTCTGTCTCCTCAGTTCTAACGGAGCACCAGCTCTTTGACGTGTTCAACAACGCAATAGTATCTTTTTATCGCTCTGAGGATGAGGGCGGAGGGGAAGATGGCGGAGGTGGAGGAGGAGCAGGAGGCGGCGGCAGTAGTGGAGGAGGAGGAGGAAATTCAGGATCTGACTCCTCTTCCAGAAATGACAGGGGGAGCAGCAGTGGGGGAGGTACAGTCAACAGTGACAGTGGAACAGGGACATCAGGAGGAAGTAGTGGAGGAAGTGGAGGAAGTGGTGGCTCTGCAGGAGAAGGTGGGAATGCTAACAACAGCCCTGCTGGTAACGGAGGGGTCGGGCTGGCGGCTGTGACGGGTGCGATGACCACCAACGACGCGCTGCTGTTCCATGAAAAATGTGGCACACTGATCAAACTGAGCAACAACAACAAGACGGCGGAGCGGAGGAGACCACTGGACGAGTTCAATAACGGCGTGGTGATGACCAACCGGCCGCTCCGACACAACGAGATGTTTGAGGTGTTTACAATCACACGACTCAGTGCTTTGTGCTTACATGAATGAGACCAGATATCGTTTTAGATTTTAGATATTATAAACGTTGTTCCCTGGTTTTAAAGGCTGCATTACAGTAAAGTGATGTAATGTCCTAAACTTACCAGACTGTTGTAGCTGTTCTATTATTTGCCTTTAGCCACTCAGGACCTGTATCCACCAAAGCATTTTTCCCAGCTGAAAACACCAGACGCTCCTCTTCAGATGCCCAGCTGGGAGCGTGTGAGAGCACTATGGAGGCACTATGTGTTCTGTTTTTCAGCTGAAATGCTTTGATTGCATCTGGTTGCTATGATATGGGAAATCTGTGGAAGTAAAAATGTCGAGGCAAGGTAGAGTACTTGCTTTGGATGAGGGGAAGGCAGAAGCATGCAGGGAGAAAGGATGGACTTGCCGGTCTGTGTGGGTTCATTACAGAAAACATATATTACACCGATCAGCCACAACATTAAAACCACTGGCGGGTGAAGTGAATAACATTGATCATCTTGCGACAGTGCAATGTTCTGTTGGGAAACCTTGGGTCATGGCATTCATGTGGATGCTACGTGACACGCTCCACCCACCCAAACACCATTGCAGACCAAGTGAACCCCCTTACGGCAACGGCACTTGTCAATGGCAGTGCCCCCTCCCCAGCAGGACAATGCACCATGCCACACCATGTTAACTGCTCAGGAATGACCCCAGGAAGGGGACAAAGAGCTCAAGGCATTGACTTGGCCTCCAAATACCCCAGATCCCAATGTGATCGAACATCTGAGGAATGTGCTGTTACCCCAGAGGTACCCCTGATCCATGGTGGGTCCTCCTTGGACCGGACTTGGCTCTGAGCTGTCAAGACATGAACACAGGACCTCTGGAGGATGTCCTCTGGTGCCTGGCATCGGGGCGTTACTTTCAGATCTTTTGAGTCCCGTGAGTTGTGAGGTGGGGTACCAGCACATCTTACAGATGTTTCATCAGATCTGGATCCAAGGAATTCGGAGGCCAGATCGACTCCTTGAGCTCTTTGTCTTGTTCCTCGGACCATGGAGATTTCTCCTCCATTAATGTTGTTGTTCAGCATATGTACTTGTAAGATGTGACGGTGACTGTCTTTGTGTACTTGTCCCACCCCTCTTAATGTCATAGGATGGCCGGGTATTGAGGTACTTGGTCAAAAACATTGTAAAATTAGATTTTCTCCATATCACGTAGCCATACTTAAATGTCAAAATTGTATTAATTTTCATCCATTGACAAACTGAAACACCACTAGAAGACAATTACAAGAGTATGAGTATGAAAATGAGTCTTTGAGAGTGTCTAGTAATGTCAAAATGATGACCAAGCAAAGAGAAATAATCAAAATGTTCATAGAAATTGTACTATAATTCAAGACAGTGTTTCAGTGCTTTTGCCTCAGGACAGTCAGAAATATCAGGATATTATTTTATTGATAAAGGTGTTTCTAGTCTGTGCTGAAAGATACAGAGTCACTTACAGTGAACAGGGTATTTTGTCATTGCAGTCGCATAAACTTCAGATGTTCACCTCATGCTTGGAGGTCTGGTGCCATTCATCACTCTGAGCTCAAGGCAGAACAGAGATCTCTTCATTTTAGCTCATGAATAATGTGAAGAAAATTGTCAGCACCAGAAAAGTTTAAATGTATTCCTGTTACATTTTCAGATCCGCATTGATAAGCTGGTGGACAAGTGGTCGGGCTCAATAGAGATCGGCGTGACCACACACAATCCCAACAACCTGGACTATCCTGCAACTATGACCAATCTGCGCTCAGGTGACACACACACACACCAAGACGCACAGACACTATGTCAAAGACAGCAGCTGTTGCTCACTGTGAAGTTACTGACATTGTTCTGTCTGTAGGTACAATCATGATGAGTGGCTGCGGGATACTGACCAACGGGAAAGGAACCCGTCGGGAATACTGTGAATTTAGCCTCGATGAACTTCAGGTTGGTGATGGCACATGCACACGCACATTTCATTCTGCCACCTATCATGCAAGTGTGTCTGTTAACTCCTCTGATCCATGTTTAGGAGGGAGATCACATAGGGCTGATGCGCAAAGCCAGTGGAGCGCTCCACTTCTACATCAATGGCATCGACCAAGGTGAGGCGCATCGAGACGCTTCGTGAGGGGAAAGAAAACCCACTGCTGGGGAGTGGGTGGTCGCGATGATATGATGGTGATGGTTATAAATGAGTGATAGAGAAACACCCAACCAGTCAGCTCTGAACAGAAAGATGGGGCTAAAATATAGATTTGTTTTTTAGATTTTTGTTTTCCTGTGATTCTATGATGCTTTACATAATAAGTTGGACAATATATACTGTAACTGAGACTGTTGTCTGTGGAGCAAGTGTGATTACCACTCTGTTGTCTTTCCCAGGTGTTGCAGCAGCTCAGACCCCCGGCGTGGTCTACGGTGTGGTCGACCTCTACGGCATGGCCGTCAAAGTCACCATAGTCCACAACCACAACCACAGTGACCGCCTCAGACGCAACAATGCCATCATGAGGGCTTTATCGCCCGACGTGGGCCGGCCCAGGCCAGCTCTGTCTCTCACTCCAGACGCAGAGGGGCCCGACCGACTGCTCTTTCACCCCAACTGTGGCCAGAAGGCCGCCATCATTAGTGATGGCAGGACGGCGCTGCGGCCACAGTGAGTGCCAAAAGACTAAAATAACAATAGGTGCAAAAAGCTGGTGTTAGTTAGAGCAAAATTAAGGTAAACAAAGCAGCTTCCCCATGTTTTTTGAACTCTGGGAACAGTTAGCCGACCTGTTCCTGATGACAGACGAAGCCTGTAGGCTTCATAAGGAAGAAGTAGGTTAGAAATGTATTTAGGTCCAAAGCCATTAAATGATTGATACACAACCAGCAACGTAAAGCGTATTATGTAACACACTGCTGCAGTTTATTTTTGCTTGTGGCATGTTAGGTTGTAGCATCCAATATGTTTTGTGTAGGCTGGTGTCATTGATTTATTTTCTGCTATAAAAACACATCAACAGCAAAGGCCAGTTTCGGAATTTGTGGTCCAGCTGAACACAGATGGAATCCCCTGAACCTTGTAACAATAAGGCAAGGCAAGTTTATTTAAATGTACATTTCAGCAGCAGGGCAAATCACAGTGTGTTACATACAAAGTGCAAAAGAAGCACTGTTGTGGCTTCCAAATAAGTTCAAAAACAGCCACCCACAGATGCCATAATGGGAGATATGATGAACCTACTGTATGTATTGAGAGTTGCAGGATGAGGCTATGAAATCTTTGTCTTGACTGTCGCATTTAAAACAAATGAAAACAAAAATCCCCAAACAGACATTCCCCCAAATAAATAGGCCTGTACACAAACAAAGTTCAAATCAGTGGGGTATTAAACAACTCCATCAAACAATAAAACACTAAGATTAACCAAATAGGCAGCGGTCAAAGACTTTAACCTCATTTTAGCACACCTGCCTTTAATTAAAGGTTCCTGCGATGCCTGGTCAGTGACTCAAAATAATAGGAAACTAGGACTTGGACAACAAGGCAAGTTGATATTAAAGGACATTTAAATACAGTCACTGAAGATATACTATGCAAGATTTTTCTAAAAAAATAAGGTATAGACTCATATGGGAGTAATCCCTCTTAATCATTAATTACAACCCACTAGAAGTGTGTGGTGGTGTATATTTCTGCAGAGACTCTGCCTTCTGCCTGTATTTTCTTAGTTTCCTTTTATTTTCTGTGTTCGGGGACCCCTATGGGCGTGCACCCCCACAAGGTCAGGGCTTTATAAAAAGGCAGTGACCAGGTGCCAGACTATGAGACACAGTGCCTAAAAAAAATACCATAGCAAAGTGAAATGCTAAATGAGGGTAAATTTGGGCTTGGCTTTCACTTTTGCTGGTGAGCATGTTTATGAACAGTAAACTACATACTATACCTCTGACAGTAGGGTTTTTTCTGGATATATGGCATCTTCTGTGTCAAATATTTGTTAAATCAGGTACATCATGACTCAGCAAGAGTTTTACTAAGCTGAGTGTAAAAGTCTACTTTAGTTGTCTGACTAAAATTTCTATTAGTGGAAAGTCTTAAATAAATGTGATTGTACTCAAAAAGTTCAAAGGGTTTTGGAAATATTTTAAAAAATCTCCAGGTTTAGAGTTGATACTGCTTTTAATATTTTTCCTATATGAAAAATACCAAAGTATGCAATGGGCGATATGCAGAAATCCTCTACAAGCAGTCTTCTTCTTCTTTCACAGTGCGACTGACGACTTCAACCACGGCGTGGTCCTGAGCAGCCGGCCGCTGCGCTCCAATGAGGTGTTCCAGGTTCGCATCGACAAGATGGTGGACAAGTGGGCGGGTTCCATTGAAATCGGTGTCACAACGCACAACCCTGCTTACCTGCAGCTGCCCTCCACCATGACCAACCTGCGCTCAGGTAAACGACATGTGTGGTACATGTGGAATTGCTGCTACATTTCTCTGCAAGTGTGAATCTCATTACAACATTAACCAAATGTTTTGCTGTGTGTGTTTTCCAGGGACGTGGATGATGACGGGGAATGGCGTAATGCACAACGGAACAACAATACTGGATGAGTACGGACACAACCTGGACCGGCTCAAGGTGAGTGATGTTTGTTCTTTATTCCTCAGCTGACTGTCACTTTCTGCCTTTTCATCCATCCCCCTCTCTTCTCCTCTCACATCCTTCCTGACATTTCCCTTTGTATGTTTTTATTAACCCTTTCTTCCCTCCTGCAGGCAGGTGACACAGTTGGTGTCGTGAGGAAAGAAGACGGCAGCCTCCACTTCTTTGTGAACGGTGTGGCTCAGGGCCCGGCAGCCTGGAACGTCCCTCCCAGTGTCTATGCCGTGGTCGACCTGTACGGCCAGGCTGCTCAGGCCACCATCATGGACGACATGGGTGAGTGACTGAGGAGCAGCTGAGATGCTAAAATTACTGAGACCCCTCTTTAGAAGATGTGAGCTTATATCTTTTCCCAATTATATTTTGCTAGTGGACCTCCCGCCTCTCCCAGAGGACAGCTCAGACGGCCCCACAGCCATGTCCCCTGGGAGCCCCTGCTCGGTAGGAGGAGCCAGCACGATCAACGACCTGCGTTTTCACCACCTGCATGGCACTAACGCTGTCATCACCAATGGGGGGCGCACCGCCCTGCGTCAGAACTGCCGCAGCGAGTTCAACGACGCTATTGTCATTTCCAACAGGTAATGAAACACATGACAGATAACTTTTAGCACATCATATCTTTCCCATTTTCCCAGTGCTTTCTCCCATGCGTTAACTCAAAAATATCGATTCATCATAATTGATATTGATTCTGAATATTTGAAATTGTTTCAACAGTACCTGTCACTCTGCTATTCTCTTCTACTAACCCAGAAAAATAGTCGCTATCATTCTCTTGCCTTCTTCTATTTATCTTTTAATATATATTCTAATTTTTTTGCTCTCAATGTCAGTTTCTCCCTGTGGTATCAAATATTGATATTGATATTTTTCCTCCTTGTAGGTGCCTTCGAGATGGAGAGCTGTTTGAAATCATTATTCAGAAGATGGTGGACCGCTGGTCGGGTTCAATAGAAGCAGGTGAGGTGTTTCTAATGTGTCCACTCTGCCTTTCTGTCCTTCTTTTTAGTCAGCCAACAAAAATGACAATAAAAGCTACTGTGTGTTGCTTCACATTTATCTCTATGACAGCATTGGAATAATTCCCTATAAATGTGTTTAATATGTAATCACTACAGATTTCTTCTTACCTTCTCTGTGTCCAGGAGTGACAGCCATCAGGCCGGATGAGCTCGAGTTTCCTAACACTATGACTGATATCGACTATGACACTTGGATGCTCAGGTAGAACACTATGAGAACATGAAGACTCAAAATCTGTTTTTTCCAGCAATATCTTTATTCATCCTTTCAAATAACTTCCAATAACAAAGAAGCAAATGTGTTCTTGTTCTTGTTACAAAGAATACCAAGAGCACATAGTTGTTATGAGGGCTTTCCTTACATGTCAGACATCTGAAAGATAACAAAATGCACTGATAAAAGAATTAATTTAAAATAAAAAAGTCTGTTTTTCAAAAGAGTTCCCATATTGTTATATTCATGTCGTACATTGTGTTGAACTCTGAGACGTAGTTCACATGGAACACACCAGTAAACTGTTAAAAGGAGTTCAGATAGTTGAGGCAGCTGCAGTGGATCACTTATATTTATACCTTGCCTGCTACATTCATCACATTACTTAGATCAACATCTCCATATATTGTATGAAAGGACCCCAAATGTTTTCAAAGAGCGATTGTTTACTCAATAATATAAATGATCTTTTCCAGAGGTCATAGTCTTTGGTCTGCCCGTCCTAAAGAGATTTAGAGAACTCATTTTGCAGTTAGTAATAAAAGATCTAAGGCAGCAGTGTCGTCCTTGGGTGCATGATGTTTATCATGGTGTAAATCTAGGATGAAAAAATTAGATCATATATTAGTGAATGCCTAATTTATTCCCCAGAGCTTGTTTCATCTCCGTCCAGAACTCTTTCACTTCATTGCATTCGTAAATCACAATGGAAAAAGGTCCTTTTCTCCTGTCCACACCTAATACACAGGTGCAGGATACTTGTTTAGCTTGTCTGGTGTCACGTATGACCTCATCAGCCAATTTTATTGCAAAAATTTGAACCCAGTTTTGACAGTTTGTGTGTCTGCTTTGGCACATGCTGCTCCCCAGTCCTCCGAAGGGACTGTATTACCATAAATTTGTTTATTTTGCTGTTTATTAGGCTCTTAAACACACACTTAGCTGTTATTTCTGAGTTCTTCGTTATTATCAAATACACAACTGTCATGGAGAAACAGTTACTGGTAACAAAAATCTGGGATCTCAGGCTCCCTCTGACAATGCTAATTAAATATGTATTTAAAAAAGGAAAGGAAGGAACACAGAAAATCACACAAGGAAAAAAGAGAGAGGATCTAAGACATAGAATAGTGCAAGTTAAATATAGGGATAAAATATGACACAAATAAATTTGCAAATGATTAAATTGAATGTAAACTGGAATATGTACTTCATCCATGTGCTAAATGTTAGTGCCTGTATTTGGTTTAATCATGTTCCCAAAGTTTTTTTTTCCTTGAACCCCTTAGATGAAGAAATTCAAACTCAAAAATGTGGAGCTACATGAAACCTAGAAACATAATACGTTTATAAAAGTTCAGATCATATCTATAAAATTGTCTTCCTTCTTTTCCCACAGTGGAACAGCCATCATGCAGGATGGCAACACGATGCGCAACAACTACGGCTGCGACCTGGACTCCCTGACCACGGGCTCACGGATCGGCATGATGCGCTCAGCCAGCGGCGACCTCCATTATTACATCAACGGCGTGGATCAAGGAGTCGCCTGCACTGGTCTGCCCCCAGGTAAAGATTAATCAGAGGAAGCCAGAAATGTGAAACCAGCACTCTGCAGCCAGATAGGAATGAAATACTGCTGTGTTGAGTTGGGAGTGTAGATGATCACCCACGTCTCTCTGTGTCTCTCAGAGGTGTATGCTGTCATCGACCTGTATGGTCAGTGTGTTCAGGTGTCCATCACCAGCTCCTCAGGCCCACTGGACAACAGCCTCTGTACCAGCAACATCACTGAGAAGAGCTTCCCCATCCACTCACCAGGTAGACATCAGGCTCCCTGCTCAGGTCTGCAAAGCCTTAAAACCCCAAAATATTCAGTATAATATGATATAAAACAGAGAAACGCAGGAAATCTCCATATTTGCAAGGCTGAAAACAGCATTTGTCAGCTATCAGTATAGTAGGCGATTATTTTTCTGTTGATTAGTCGACTAATCTTTTCAGCTCTAGTATGAAACTCTATTTTAGTAGAAGATATATCAGTTGTCCTCAAAGCCTCATCTCCATATTTCTTCCTCTCTGTGTGTGTGCAGTAGCAGGCGTAGCCCATCGGCTCCACAGTAAACACGGTAAGAATGTAGTGCTGCTCGGCGACGGCTGCCAGGGCGTCAGAGTCGGAGGTTACGCTCACGGCATCGTGTTCAGTGCGAAGGAGCTCAAAACAGACGAGCTGTTTGAGGTAAACGAAGGCTTGAGCCTAGAACGTTCTACCTTGTCATGCTTTTAAGTAATTTGCATGCTTATCTGCGTATGCTATAAATGTTTGTCATCCTTTTCTAGCTGCTGCTGTTTTATTCTCTTTCCTGATCTCTCTCTCTCTCTCTCTCTCTCTCTCTCTCTCTCTCTCTCTCTCTCTCTCTCCACTGCAGGTGAGGATTGATGAGGTGGATGAGCAGTGGTGCGGTTCGCTGCATATCGGTCTGACCACTCTGGCACCGCCGGAGCTGCCGTCCTGCCCGCTGTCAGGTCTCTCCCCCTCCCTCCCTCAGCTTCGCACCAAGGTCACCTGGCTGCTCTGCGGCTCTGAGGTCCGTCGCAACGGCGTGCTGCAGCGCCAGAACTACGGCTGCTCACTGGACCGGCTGACGGTAAGCTGCAGCTCCCTGCACTGTGAGCACAGTTAGATTAGAGGTCACATCAAAGACCTTTAAACCCTCAGGGATCTCTTCGTCTGTCTCAAATCCATTGACTGAGATAAAGATGTTATCAGAGCTTTGAGATTTTCACAGTGTGACATCAGTATTACATCTTATAACTGAAATTGAATCTTATGTTACTCATCGACCACAATAACCATTTCTTCTCTCTTTTTTATTCTGTTAGCATTTAAGATTATTGCCAAAGCACTTACTAAAATGTGCTTTTTAAAAACTGCTATGCAGATAAGGAGAAGCACTAACAGCCACAGCAGCATCACTCACAGTTCAGGCTGAGCAATGCTTTAGTATTTAACATGTCACAGGGAGAAATGTGGCCATTCAGCAACACAAAAAGCATCATTTAATGTTGACTCAAGGTAACACAGGCTATAAATTATGTTGCGATTTATTTTAAAATCAATCTTCAAGTTCAGTCATTTGAATCTTGATTATTTTCTGTTAGAGCTACAACGATTAATTAGTTACAGTAGTTGTCAATGATTAAATTAGTCAACAACTAATTTGATAATCAATTGGTTTAAGTCATTTAAAAAGTCAAAGTTCTCTAATTCTGATTTCTAAAGCCCAATATCACAAATCACAGCTGACCTCAGAGGGCTTTACAACATACGACACCCTCTGTCCTTGGATCCTCAGAGTGAATAAGGAACCCACGCTACACTCAGTGCTTGTTATACTCACCTTGTCAGAAGATATTGTGCTCTTCTTTAAATTAAAAAAATCTCTAAACTGTTTTTAATTCTTCACTGAACATGATTGTTCCTCAGGTTGGGAACCGTGTTGGTGTGAAGAGGTGCAGCGATGACACCATGCACATCTTCATCGATGGTGAAGACATGGGACCTGCAGCCACTGCAGTAGCCAAGGTACGTACACACACACACACACACACACACTCACACACATTTTCAGTACACAGCTACTCGGCCCCACGCTGTCATTCAGCCCCTCTCTCTGTCTCCTCACAGAATGTGTATGCAGTTTTGGACCTGTATGGGCGGATAACGGCGGTGTCCATTGTGAGCTCTTCGTTGATGGAAGACATGGAAAGCGTCAAGGCGCCCTCGCTCTCCTCTGACAGCTGCAGCGAAGGAGAAGAAGACAGCACCCCTGTCAGAGAGGTAGGAGCACCAGTCTGTCTGTTAACAAAACATGTTGCTCACTGCATCGTTGAATTTCCTGAGAGAAACTCTTCATGTCGCCTCCAGGTTGAGACTGAGCCATGTGTACTGGTGCCCACTGTTATGGCATTCCTGGAAAACCACGGCAAAAACATCCAGCTGTCCAACCAGAACCTGACAGCAGCCAGAGTATCCAGCTACAACCAGGGCCTGCTGGTCACCGCCCAGCCGCTAGCTCGCCAGCAGCTGTTCCAGGTAACGTACCTGTGTGGCTATGTTTCAGCTTCTTTGTCTTACTTTTAATAACTGAGTTTGTAATTTCAGTATTTACATAGTGTAGAGTAGTGTTGCACGGTATACTGGTACCAACGGTAGACCGTGGTACTAAAACTCCACGGTACATATGATACCATAATGTTGGAGTACCGTAGTACTACGGTACCTCACGGTACCACTACTGTGGGATAAGTTCAAAGTCCAATGGCAAGAGGGTGAGTGTCCATGAGCCGTCCAATAACGGCGCGCGCTGGCCAATAACGGCACGCTGGCCACCTGACACTCAATATGCTGCTGCACTGGTTTGTTTTCCAGTGACATTTCAGGTATTAGCTGAGCTATTGAGTATCTTTGAGCAGTGAAAGTCATTATTTATTTCTTACTTGTAGGCAGTAATTTGCTTTCCACAGCGCTCTACGGTGCGAGCATTTTACTCGCATTTGCGACTAAAAATATTTTTGCGCGAGCAAAAGAAATCATTCAGGAGCACGCTGTGCGAGTACAGATTTCAACCAGCAGCAGAAACGAAAGACGAATCCTGTCGGTTGTGGGTTGAACAGGGGTCACAGACAGGAATACGGCAGAGCACTATGGCCACCTCAAGATAACGGCTTACCGGCAACCGAGAAGCCCGGCTCCAGGTCCAATAATTTCCTCTTTGTTGGTGTCATGACTGCCCAGTAGTACCTGGACAACCGAACCGTGGCAGCACACAGGTATGTAGCGTGTCAGAGGAGAAACGAGCCGTTCACATTTCTCTCTTTGTGGCAGGTAACGGTCCACAAACCTCATCGCACTTTAGGGTCTGTTCTTAACTTATCAGAGGAGGAGGGTGGCTGGTTGATTTTTATTTCATTTATTTATTTTATTTTGATCCCCCCTATGTTAATCACTCATTGATGCTGTTTTTGAAGTATGAATAAGTCAAGTAGTTTATTCCAAAACTCAGGAAACTTCAAGGCACTCTCTTTGGAAAAATTAAAAAGCCTTTATTGTTATGGCTTGGTCATCTTAAACCTTTAAAAACTCTGACGCGTTTCGGCATACAAGCCTTCGTCAGGGAGTCAAACAGTAGTAATTTATTCCATTGAAATATCATTGATGTATAATAGAAAAGTGATTTATCTTTTTATATTTGACAAAAGGCACATCTCCCTAATTTTTGCTTTGGTATCGTGATACTACTCAGAACCATGATACTTTCACTGGTATCGTACCATGGGTCCCAATTTTGGTACCGTGACAACACTAGTGTAGAGTACTTACAAGTAGAATATATATAGAATGCGATGGCAAGGTGTTTAGGCGGCGATTGTTCCAGTGTGTCAACAGCTTCTCTTTCCTCACCAGTTTCAAATCGACCGTCTGAACCCGTCATGGACATCATCGCTGTCATTAGGGGTGATAGGTCACTCCCCCGACCGGCTCAACTTCCCCTCCACAGCGTGTTGTCTGAAACGCTCCGCCTGGCTGCTGCAGAGAGACTCCGTCTTCCACAACTCCCTAAAGGTACACCCACACTCTTAAACACACAGAATCTGTCTGTCATGTTGGACTGCTCTATTGATTTTTGTCCCACATGACAAACGGAGTGTGTTCTCTGACATCAGCCTCATCGATTGTTTGATTGATTCTCTTGTCATTTTTCTCTCACTCGCTAATGTCTCTCCTTTTCTTCCATTTTTCCTTCTCTCAACAGATATGTGAGAATTATGGTCCTAATTTGGACACCTGTCCAGAGGGGACGGTGTTGGGTCTGCTGGTGGACGCCAACAGCTGTCTCCACCTCTATGTCAATGGCATGGACCAGGGTGTGGCTGCGCAGGACATTCCTTCGCCCTGCTACCCCTTCATCGACCTCTACGGCCAGTGTGAACAGGTCGGCACTACAGACACATAAACACACTGAAACAGCCGTGTCAGTTTGGTGTTTGACGCTTTTTCTTGACAATTTACATAAATGATTGATCAATTATGGAAGCCTGTTTGTGCCTTTCTTAAAATTATTTGCAGATACTAACTCCATATTGGCGGAAATGAGCTTCCATAAACAGTTATCTAAAGACAAATAGTTGTTGGCAATTGATGTTCTGACGACTGACTAATCAGTAGTATTTCAGGAGTACATTACTACGATCTAAATCCCAAGGTGATATCCTAATGAATGTTGTGTCGTCATGGCAGGTTACTATAGTAACAAATAACGTGCCAGCTGTGGGCGGAGAGAGTGGTGAGACCCGTTGTCAGGGTGACATGGAGAAGGCAGACATGGTTGACGGTAAGAAGTTTGTGTTTTACTGTCAGATTATCTTTTCATTTATTCAGGGGTCCTGCACAGTTTGGAAAAATATGGATTTTTAATTTTATTTTAATTTTTGTAATTTCCAGGTTTGGATAAGTGTAGAAAAAATACTTGTATTTCTGGAGTATTGCCCATTATCTCTTTTTATAATATAAAATCCACAGTTTCTAAAAAATACTATAGAATAGAGTCAGAATATAACATACATGGTAACAGCTGGATTTTCAAACCATTTATTAACATAATAAACATCAAGCTATTTGTCAAATACAGTCTAAAAAGTCTACAGGAAAGTCAGGAAAAGTGTGGAATTTTCAAAAGGAAAATGTTTCTGTTCAGTCTTGTATTTTATCTGTTTTGTTTTTATATACAGGAATCAAAGAGAGTGTGTGCTGGACGCCCCCTCCAGAGGTCAACCCCAACAAGACCTGCGAGTACCAGGCACTCTGCTCACGCTTTAAGGACCTGCTCACATTACCAGGTGAGTCTTATCCCAAGCCTTTCTGCCATGATCTCTGCCTCAGATCTAAAGTCATGTAACAACCCAATCTTTTTCCTCTCTACCACCACCCGTAAGATGGCTATTTTAATGAAGACGCAAAATACAACCTGTGCTACTGTGAGTCCTGCCACAAGCTTCGGGGTGACGAGGCTTATTACAAGAGAGGAGAGCCGCCTCGGGACTACGCCTTGCCCTTTGGATGGTGCCGCTTCGCCCTCAGGTGGGAGGACAATCTCATGGGTCACATACATGATAGAGCACTGAGATAACAGGGTGAAAGTTTGTAAATGGCTGTGTTCCTGTTTAATTTTCCTTGCCAGTATGTAACGCTATTCTACTTAGTAGTTCTACTACTACTACTACTACTACAAATAACATGAAATTAAATGGACATAAAGTAAAAATCACATGATGTCTGTCGGTCTGTTATTGACATCAGCAGAGCCCTGTCAATGCTGAATGTGTGTCTATATAAGTGCATGTATCTTCTTTGTTTAGGATCAAGCCCCACTGTGAGGTTTCTAATGCACTGAAGAAGTGGCACATCGCATACCACGGCACCAGTGTAGGAGCCCTGCGACGTACGCTGGACCACAGCCAGCTGCTGCCTGGTATGAAAATTGTTGGTTCCTTTTTATAAAGACGCAAACTCTGTGACTTTGAGAAGAGGTTTCAACAACTGACTGAAAGAAATGTCCCTGAAACTAAAACCTTGACTAAATGTTGTGACTTTTCAACGATATTTTTATGACTTAATATATTATTACCTTTTCATGACATTTTATTGCCATGCTACATATGACATTTTTATGACCTACTATACCAGCACATTTTTATCACATTCTTATACCTTACTAAACTATGACTTTTTTCCTTCACATTATAGCATGTAATTTTAAAGGTGATTTAAAAAGTCATAGTAGAGTATGCAAAAAATTAATGAAAAAAAGGTTATCATATAGTACGTCATCAAAGTCATAGAATAATATGTCAAATATGTACTCAAAATGTCACACTGTAAGGATGTGATTTAAAAAGTCATTGTATAGTATGTCAAAAAAGTCACAGTATAGAGTATAGTATAGTATAGTATAGAGTGCCATAAAAATGTGAAAAATGTATGTCATGAAAAAAAAGTCATAGTATAGCATGTCGTCAAAAAACAATATTATAGTATAGAATCTTGTCCAAAATCATGAAAAAAACATCATAGTATAATATGTCGTCAAAAATCATGAAAAAAAGTCATAGTATAGTATGTCGTCCAAAATCATGAAAAAAAAACATCATAGTATAGTATGTCATTCAAAAGCCTGTAAAAAGTCATAGTTTAGTATGTTGTCCAAAATCGTGAAAAAAAAGTCATAGTATAGCATGTCGTCAAAAATCATGAAAAAAGTCATAGTATAGTATGTTGTGAAAAACGATGAAAAAAAAGTCATAGTTTAGTATGTTGTCCAAAATTATGAAAAAAAAGTCATAGTATAGCATGTCATCCAAAATCATGAAAAAAAGTCATAGTTTAGTATGTCGTCAAAAATCATGAAAAAAAAAGTCATAGTATAGTGTGTTGTCAAAAATCTTGAAAAAAAGTCATAGTATAGTATGTCGTCCAAAATCATGAAAAAAGTCATGGTATAGTATGTCGTTCAAAATCATGAAAAAATAGTCATAGTAAAATATGTCGTCCAAAAATCTTGGAAAAAAAAAAGTCATAGAATAGTATGTCGTCAAAAATCATGAAAAAAAGTCATAGTATGTCGTCCAAAATCATGAAAAAATTCATAGTTTAGTATGTCGTCAAAAATCTTGAAAAAAAAGTCATAGTATAGTATGTCGTCAAAAATCATGAAAAAGTCATAGTATAGTATGTCGCCAAAAATCTTGAAAAAAAGTCATAGTATAGTATGTCATCAAAAATCATAAAAAAAAAATCATAGTATGTCGTCCAAAATCATGAAAAAAGTCAAAGTATGTCATCCAAAATCATGAAAAAAGTCATAGTATGTCGCCAAAAATCTTGAAAAAAAGCCATAGTATAGTATGTCGTCCAAAATAATGAAAAAAAAGTCATAGTATAGTATGTCGTCAAAAATCTTGAAAAAAAAAAGTCATAGTATAGTATGTCGTCCAAAATCATGAAAAAAGTCATAGTATGTCGCCAAAAATCTTGAAAAAAAGTCATAGTATAGTATGTCGTCCAAAATCATGAAAAATAGTCATAGTTTAGTATGTCGTCCAAAATCATGAAAAATAGTCATAGCTTAGTATGTCGTCAAAAATCTTGAAAAAAAGTCATAGTTTAGTATGTCGTCAAAAATCTTGAAAAAAGTCATACTATAGTATGTCAAAAACGATGAAAAAAAAAAAAGTCATGATATAGTATGTCGTCAAAAACGATGAAAAAATGTCATAGTAAAATATGTCGTCTGTCCGTCCTGGAAGAGGGATCCCTCCTCAGTTGCTCCTCCTGAGGTTTCTACCGTTTTTTTCCCCCGTTAAAGGGGTTTTTTTGGGGAGTTTTCCTTATCCGCTGCGAGGACAGAGGGATGTCGTATGCTGTAAAGCCCTGTGAGGCAAATTGTGATTTGTGATATTGGGCTTTATAAATAAAATTGATTGATTGATTGATTGAAATACAAAGCATGCATTCAATGTGAAGTTCAGGGACTGTATAAAATGTTTCTGAGGGCCGTCATTGGCCAGCGGGCCAAACTTGACCTTCATGATAAATGTAATTTTGTTGTTGCAGGAACATCATCCATCTTCTCGGTGTCTCCGGTGAAGGCGGAGGGGCCTAATGGCTACACTGAGCCAGAGGAGAACAGTGCCCCAGGCAGGGAGGTTCCCAGAGTGCGCCTCTCCCCCACTATGCGCTACTCCGGCATGGAGATCTTTGCCCCTAAAGTGCAGTAAGTCCTCCTCCTTCAGAACATCACTGATACATGTGATTTGTTTGCACCTACCCGTTTACAGTGGAGAGCGAACAGGAAAAAACGGGACAAAGAGCACTTACTGATAGTTTCCTCTCTCCTCATGCAGATTTCGGGACCCGCGTTCTCACCGCAGTCACCATGCTCAGGTGGGATTCCAGGTGTGTGTGCGTCCAGGCTCCTACAAGGTGGGACCCCAGACACTTGGCCACAGCGAGTCCCTGGACCCTCGCTTCAGCAACTCAGAGATTGAGTGGATTACAAAAGAGCAGGGCGGCACACTCCTCTACGGACTGCTCATCCGGGTCGAGTGAATGTTGCGACAAGGGAGGCATTCGGGTGGAAGTGGGGAGGGTCCGTGCGGCGCTTCTCGTACTTTTAATAAACTGACAACCAAATCCAACCCCTGCCTTGAGCGAGAGACTCCTCTGGAATCCAGCTGTTCCTACTGTGGATTGTTGACAATTCAGCATTATTGATTTGTTTTGTTTATTTTGTCAGTTTTTGGTTGTTTGCTCTTGGACTCTTTTAATGGCCGGGGGCTACGGCGGTTTCAAAGAAGAACAGACACTGCCTGCACTTTATGTTTTGGACACTCGTGGGCGATTTTTAAACTAACTTCTCATCGACACGACACGTTTGTTCATTCGCTACAGTTAGTTCTCTTTGCCACGTTTTTTGTTCTCATCCTTCCCAGTATATTTTCTTCCACACTCACAAACAGCTGTTTTTTTTCCTTTAAATTTTGGCACTTATTTTAACACTCATCACCTCTGCTCTGATCAGTGTTTTTGATTTGGGAGGAGCTGTCCCCTGCCAACCTGCACGTTAAAGGACTGTCACCTAAAAAGACTGAAACGTGGGTCAAAAAGAAAAAAAAAAGAGTGACAATGTTTTCATAAAAAAACAGAAAGACACTTGAATCTGAGAATGAACCTGAGAGTGTCTTGTGATTGTGACTTCTTTAGGGGGGGGGGGGATTTTAAAACTGGAGGAAGAAAAAAAAATGTTTACACATGTACAACTGTATGTCGCTGTCCTCGTCATGTCTCCACGTTAGCAGTTCGGCTACTTTATCAGTCCTGTTTGCGTTTCTGTTGTGGCCCGGCATCATGTCTGACTTGTCTTGTCAAATGGAAAACATTCACAGGATTTAAACTGTGGAGAAAACTGGAAGGTTTGACATAAAAACAGACTTTTGGAGATTATGAATTGCAAATGATGTTCCAGCCTGACAGCTTATATGTTCATATTGAGAGGATTGTGGTGAAATTAAAAAATATACATTTACTTCTAGACTTGGCAGGCTTGATACAGAAAAAGGGGAAAAAGTCAAAGTTCGATACTTTGTTGTAGAGCAACATAAGAAGACTGATGCCACTCTCATGTTCTAATGGGAACTATGAAGCTCCAGCTAGCAGTCTGCTAACTTAGTTTAGCATATAGACTTGAAACAAGGAGACACAGCTAGCATAGCTCTGTCCTAAAGGTAGCAAAGTCCACCTGTTAGCACCTCCAAAGCTCACACGTCTTTTGTTTGTTTTATCGATACAAAAACCAAAGTGTAAGAACACCACTTTGCCATTTTATAAAGTGTTACGTGCCACAGTCTTTCTTGGCAAAGAACAGTTGCCAGGCAACCAGCGGAGACTCAGTTGGTTGTCTTGCAACCAAGAAATTGTTTGGCACAAAACCCCTCATAAAAGATGAATTGTCCTTGTATCACTTTGGTTTTTTACAGATAAAACAAATTACAGGAAACAACAACATGCTAGTGAGCTGCTACCTTTGACCCCAAACCTCACTGTCTCCTGGCTGTAGCTTCACCTCAATACACAAACAAGTGAGTGCTATCAGTTCTCTCAAAAAGCAAGCTCTTGGCAAGAAAGTGAATTACCCACAATGTCGTACTTTAAAAAATAAACTAAAAGGCAGGTAAATGGGCTGAAGCCAAAAGGTTTAAGTGGTTTTCCACATCACTCCGACTGTGTCACTTCCCCCTCATCGTTTACTCTAGATCCACTCACACCTCCACTCTGATCTCTGCGTCAGTCGTGACTGACTGTGTTTACCTGGCAGAACGTCCAGAGCCAAAAAGGTGTAGTTTCTAGATCAGCAAGCCGTCAAGTCGTCTGCATCCAACGACCTTTGCTGGTGTTTACATGTGAATGTTATTCATTAGGGCTCTGCAGTTCTTTTACGTCAGCTAACATCATGGATTTACATTTGTCAAATGTTTTTACAAGGATTTTCATATAATCCCAAACATCCACCTAATGATTGATTGTATGTGAACAGCTTTCCAAAGTATTGTTTTTTTTCACTGTTGTCAGTCCTGTTGCCAATTTGATAAACCTGCTACAGAACATGAAACCCTGACACTTTTCAAGGCACAGTTTTGTTGAGTCAAACTCAAAAATCATAATTGAAGAAGCTCAGTCACCTTCTAAGAGCAGCTGTGATCTGACTGATAGAAGGTCTATGGGGTTTGGCAGAAGGAGAAACTTCCAATCAAAAAATGTGAAAACTATTACTATATGGGTTATTTACAGCCCAGTGCTGCTTTGTACAATTTAGTTTGTATTGTTTTCTTCATTTGTTTTCTGTATGTTGCGTTGTACAGGCTGTTACATAACAAATCATATCTTCCTGATTTATAAAAAAGAAAAATAAACTGACAGACAGTATGCACAGAAGGATGGTTAAAGTTGTGTTTTTTTTTCTTTTGTAAATTTTATTTAGAGTAGAAAAAAAAGTCTGATCACTGACATGTTATTGCAGTGTTGCATACGTTCTCAATCACACCTTTTCCAAAATGCTGTACTAATTACTCATTAAGGCCAATAGTGGGTTTTTTCATAGCTTTTTACAGAAATAANGTTGCATACGTTCTCAATCACACCTTTTCCAAAATGCTGTACTAATTACTCATTAAGGCCAATAGTGGGTTTTTTCATAGCTTTTTACAGAAATAATGGCTGCTTCAGGGGGCAGCTCTGTCCTGCCATTTAAGAACAGACACACACGAAGTGATTTAAAAATAATGTGTCGTCAAAAACGATGAAAAACAAAGTCATACTATAGTATGTCATCCAAAATCATGAAAAGTCATAGTATAGTATGTCGTCCAAAATCATGAAAAAAGGTCATAGTATAGTATGTCGTTCAAAATCATGAAAAAAAGTCATACTTTAGTATGTCGTCCAAAGATAGTCACATTATATAGTATGTCATCCAAAAACGATGAAAAAACATCATAGTATAGTGTGTCGTCCAAAATCATGAAAAAGAGTCATAGTATATAGTATGTCGTCCAAAGATAGTCACATTATATAGTATGTCATCCAAAAACGATGAAAAAAAGTCATGGTATAGTATGTTGTCCAAAATCATGAAAAAAGCCATAGTATAGTATGTCGTCAAAAACGCTGAAAAATAACATCATGATGTAGCATGTTGTCCAAAATCATGAAAAAATGTCATAGTATAGTATGTCGTCCAAAATCATGAAAAAATGTCATAGTACAATATGTCGTCCAAAATCATGAAAAAAGTCATAGTATAGTATGTCATCCAAAATCATGAAAAAAAAGTCATAGCATAGTATGTTGTCCAAAATCATGAAAAATATACATGGTATAGTACGTCCTCAAAAACGTCGAAAAAACATCATATGTCGTCCAAAATCATGAAAAAATGTCATAGTACAATATGTCGTCCAAAATCATGAAAAAAGTCATAGTATAGTATGTTGTCCAAAATCATGAAAAATATACATGGTATAGTACGTCCTCAAAAATGTCGAAAAAACATCATATGTCATCAGAAATCATGAAACTAAGTCATAGTGTAGTTCATTCATTCATCTTCTAACCGCTTCATCCTCCTGAGGGTCGCGGAGCCTATCCCAGCTGACATCAGGCGAGAGGCAGGGTACACCCTGGACAGGTCACCAGACTATGGTGACCAGACTATCACAGGGCTGACACTTACGCTCACATTCACACCTACGGACAATTTAGAGTTATCAATTAACCTAATCCCCAATCTGCATGTCTTCGGACTGTGGGAGGAAGCCGGAGTGCCCAGAGAGAGCACATGCTGACACGAGGGGAGCATGCAGGCTCCGCACAGAGGATCGAACCGGGAACTCTCTGGCTGTGAGGCGACAGTGCTAACCACCACACCACCGGGCCACCGCTCATAGTATAGTATGTCGTCAAAAAAACTTTGAAAAAAAAGGTCATAATATAGTATGTCGTCCAAAATCATGAAAAAAAGTCATAGTGTAGTATGTCTTCTAAAAATAGTCACAGTATATAGTATGTCGTCCAAAATCATGTATGTTGTGAAAAACGATGAAAAAAAGTCATAGTATAGTATGTTGTCAAGAAGCAAGCTCTTGGCAAGAAAGTGAAATGTTGTAAAAACCCACAATGTCATACTTTAAAAAATAAACTAAAAGGCAGGTAAATGGGCTGAAGCCAAAAGGTTTAAGTGGTTTTCCACATCACTCCGACTGTGTCACTTCCCCCTCATCGTTTACTCTAGATCCACTCACACCTCCACTGTGATCTCTGCGTCAGTCGTGACTGACTGTGTTTACCTGGCAGAACGTCCAGAGCCAAAAAGGTGTAGTTTCTAGATCAGCAGGCCGTCAAGTCGTCTGCATCCAACGACCTTTGCTGGTGTTTACATGTGAATGTTATTCATTAGGGCTCTGCAGTTCTTTTACGTCAGCTAACATCATGGATTTACATTTGTCAAATGTTTTTACAAGGATTTTCATCTAATCCCAAACATCCACCTAATGATTGATTGTATGTGAACAGCTTTCCAAAGTATTGTTTTTTTCCCACTGTTGTCAGTCCTGTTGCCAATTTGATGAACCTGCTACAGAACATGAAACCCCGACACTTACAATACAATACACTTACGTACAATTTAGTTTGCATTGTTTTCTGTATGTTGCGTTGTACAGGCTGTTACATAACAAATCATATCTTCCTGATTTATTAAAGGAAAAATAAACTGACAGACAGTATGCACAGAAGGATGGTTAAAGTTGTAGTGTTTTTTTTTTGGGTAGAGACTGTAAAACAAAAAGATGCCATGAAGAAAGACAACCTACTGGTGCTTTTGGTTCTTTTTTTTATTTAATTTTATTTAGAGTAGGAAAAAAAGTCTGATCACTGACATGTTATTGCAGTGTTGCATACGTTCTCAATCACACCTTTTCCAAAATGCTGTACTAATTACTCATTAAGGCCAATAGTGGGTTTTTTCATAGCTTTTTACAGAAATAGTGGCTGCTTCAGGGGGCAGCTCTGTCCTGCCATTTAAGAACAGACACACACGAAGTGATTTAAAAATGCAGAGACTCAGCCATGAGTTCAACAACTAAAAATAAACAAATTACTAGTTCGCTGTCCCAAAAAACATACAACTATAATGACGCCGTAATTGTAGCAAAGTACAGTAAAGTACCACTGACGGACAGTGATCTGCCGTATGATCCTGTTGGGTTGCATAGTCGGTTTGGTTTACTAATCTGTCGCCAGCTTTAAAGAGTCATTTCTGCGCCAGCTTTGCTTTTTTAGCTTGGACCCTGAGTTTTCTGTTTTTGTTCTAAAGTCTAACGTAGAGCTGCCAATCTGGTCCTGAGCTCTTCCTGGCCCTGTCAGATAGTTTTACATTTTCAGAAGTTTGCTTTCTTTCCGAAAGATGGTAGATTATTAGATTGAGATTAATCTCATATCTGTGCTATTAGTACGGAGCTGGAATCAGGATGTGGTTAGCTTAGCTTAGCCTAGCCTAGCTTAGCATAGTTTAGCATCTCTACAGGAATCAACTGAAAACAGGTAGCATCTGTAACCTCAGCACTACATAACAGTAAAATATTAACTTGACCTGGTATCCTGATACAGATGCTTGTTATCTGCCCACAATGATAACATGTTTGCTGGAGACATAAACAACATTTAAATCCAATATTTCTACTTTAAAGTACAATCCGTTGCTGGAAAACAAGTAAACAAGTTCTTTATGCTACGCTAAGCTAATCACCTCTTGATCCCAGCTTCGTACCAATTGTACAGACTTGAGAGTGATAACAATCTTCTTTTAATATAGGAAATTCGGAGCATATGAGTTGCCTGGACTCAGTTCCTAACATGGAGGGGGCTGATCCAGCAGCTAACAGTGCTGACTGAGCTAACAGTGCTAACCAGGGTAGAACCGGAGGATGGGCACTATGCCTCTGCGATGACGCCTTCCCGATTTAAGCTGCTCCCGCTGTATGAGCACAGAGCAAAGTGGCGGCGGTCAGCTAGCCAGTGGGATATACACATGCACTAACATGCTTGCATGGCCGGACCGGCTTCTGATAACAAAGTACAGAGAAGCTCAGATTACAACACACTTAAAAGTAGTGTGATGTCATTCTCTGTTCACCATTACTCCACTATGTCTTTACATAGCAAACAGTGGCTTGCTGCTATATTAATGCTCTGAATGTTGCATACAGAGCCTTTCATTTTCAGAAAGAAAGCAAGTGTATTTGCAAAACTGTAAAACTATCCCTTTAAGACTTCCAGGCACAAGGAAGCGTTGATTTAACTGACTGAAATCTGGACCAATTGAATGGTTTAGCAACAGGACACATCGCTCTCAGATCTTGATAAAGGAATAAGGGGCAACAAGGTTTCTGCTACAAAATATCACTAAATACATGTGAAGCACTTGCATAAGGGAAAACCAAAGTGCAGCTGTTGATACTGAGTTTGTTTTGTGGGAGGGGAGGTCAGATTTTAAGCAGCTTTATATGCATGTTGACAGAAAAAAAAATCAAGTGTTTATGACAAGTTGAGAGAGTAAAAACCTCTAAATGCAAAGATAGACAAACGGACAAAGACGATGTAAAAGTTTGGTTCAGCTTCATTCAAATATACATCTTAACTTCCACGCGCGCTCACATACATACATACAGTCTTCCAAATATGCCAGAAACCAACAACAACAAAAAAGTCCCACACAGTTTTAAAAAAATAGCGAAAAGTTCTTTGTACACTTACACATAACAACTGTTAACATGTTCCCAAACCCTCACATTCACTCCCAAACATAAGGTTGTAAGCATCAAGCTACAGTGAGTGCTTTTATAAAAACGCATGATCACAGTAGTTCAAATAAAATGGCTCCTTTTGAATAAATAAACAGTGACAAAATGACCTTCAGTACAAACACCCGGCGCAGGACTTCCTCATCTTTTGATTCATCGTCGTTTAAAAAGAAAAAGCTCCAGAAAGTCGACTACAGCAGCTGTTTTTGCTCCCCGCCCAAACATAAATAAAAAGGGGGATCTACAAACACTTGTGGGTGAAAAACCTCTCCTGAACCCACCGACACACGCACACACACACACACACACACGCACACACACACGGCTCATTGCCTCACCTGCTGCACCACATTAGTGACTGGTAAAATGAGCCAACAAGAAACCTCCTTGTGAAAACCACAGGAAAAGAAGATGTCATTGCTTACAAACTCTTTTTGCACAGTAAAACACAGACTCCCCTCTTTTCTTTTTTAGCTTAAAAATCCAAGATTTAGCAATTGTTACTTGGATGCACGACCACCACCTCCCCAGTGCTCTCTGACCCCACTCCTCTGATTCAGCAGACTGTGAAGAGTTTAAACATTTCTAATGTGCTGGACTCAGGTGATAGATTTTGTGGAGGAGTTTGGCAGTCAGGGGTGAAAAAGAGGGGACAGTCTTTGACATATTTCAGCGAGACCGGCAGGGGTGGTGCAACCGAGAGACAGAGCTGGACAGCAAAACTATGAAGAGAGCACTCAATGTTCTTTTTTTTCTCTCAAGGGGAAGGAGGAGGTGGAGGTACTAAGAGGAAAGACAGATGAGGAAAAAAAGAAGGGATAGTTCTCCCAGAATTCATTGTGGCTGGTTGTGGGAGGACAGTACAAGGGGTTTACAGAGAAAGAGAGACAAAGGGAGGTCACTAAAGAGAAGAGGAGGAGGAGGAGGGAAGGCGAGCAGCAATTTGATCAGAGACTTTGTCTCTCATCATCTACTTTACAGAAGTTTTTTTTTGTTTTCCTCCACATGAGCAACTTCAGAACTTCTTGGGACCCCAGGCGGATGCTTGCTTCGGAGCCACACCTGTCCCAAACGTAGGGAAATCCTCCGCACTGCTCATGTCAGGAGCCTGGAACAGATACAAAGTCTTTGATATGCTGCACTAAAAAACTGGATGTAATACAAGACTCTCAGGGGCTAATTCACAAAAGGATTTGGCAGCTTTTACAGCCCCTAAACCTGCACAAATAAGCCAAACAAAAAGAAACTGTGTAATTCTCACCGGGGTGGTTAGTGGCTGCAAATGATGTGCAAATCATGGTACTATCAGCGGCCCTAAATACTTCAAAATAATTCATCTGATTAAGATTCAGTTAGAGAGATAAACAAAGGATCATTTCACTTCCCTAGGATCATTATCCCTAATACTACATAATACCCTAATACTACAGTCATAAATGAGCGTAAGCTAAAAACTAACCTTGTTCCCTGCTGCGTTCCAGGGAGCGTCCCGCACCACAAAGCCCTTCGCTGGACCCCCGCTGCTATCATCACCTCCTCCTGCTCCACCTCCTCCTCCATAGCGAGACGGAGGCTTCATGTAAGCTGCCAAGGTCTCCGTCTCCGTCACGCTGAGCATCTGAGAGAGGTGGAGAAAGGACGAACAATAAACTTCTTTTGCACTTTTTATCTTTAGTGCCAGGAGTGAAAAACACTGAATTCTATATTGTGTGCAACTACTACAGTCTCACATATTCCTCCTCCAGGTTGAGCAGGTGGTCGATGGCGTTGTCGACAGTCTCAGGAAGGCCTGTCACTGTCACTTTGTCGGGCTCGTCGGAGCCTGGCTGAGGGAACCGGATATCCACCTTAACACAAGAGCGGGAGGAACAATGGGACAACAGATGAAAATCAAACAAGATACAATAACACAGAAACAGAATCAGAACTTTTACTTTTCTCCCACGCGTGTAACACTCCCGAACAAACATCTAACCTTGAACTCCTCCATCAGCTTGCGGATGGCTTTGCCACGAGCTCCGATGATGCGAGCGTGGGTCCTCGGGTCCAGGTGAACATCCTGGCTCACCATTTCCTGCAGCTCGGCCACCAGCTGCTGGATGGCTTGACGTGCTTCCTCCACGTTACGCTCGTACCCCGAGATCACGATCAGATCCTGGGAGGGGAAGCCCAGGACAGAAGAAAACACAACCGGGGAAAACATGCGTCATTAATTAAGATGAAACGGATAGGTACATGTAACAGAGGGTGAGACAGAAGGAAACAATGTGAACTGGACAAAGAGGGAATAAGAAGCGTGTATTTAAGCTCAAAATAAAGCCAGTTTTGAAAAGGAAAATGCAATCTGGAAAGAAGGACAAATACACCAAAGGGTGCAGGTAAAAAAATGTGGGTGTATATGATTTTAAAAACTACATACCAGCGGATGTTTGGGTGGAGAACATGAACACATAATGCCTCCGGCCACGGCTGTTGCTGGCACAGAGGTATGAAAACTACATCATTATCAGCATGACACAAACACACACCTGCTGCTCGTCTCCTTTGTCGGGGAACTGGATGCTAACGTCGTGGTCTTTCCTGATCTGGGAGATGACCGCTCCTTTGCGGCCGATGATCTTGGGGTGAAACTTTGGATCTACGGACATGGTTACCTTGAAACTGCGCAGGGCCTGAGAAAGAGACGGGGCAGCAAAGACCTCAGACATTCAAGAATCGTTACAATGTGATGATAACAGAACTATGTTGAAGACTTGTGTGTGTGTACCCTGTCCTCCTGCTCAGCCTGCAATTCTTTGACCCTCTCGAGCAGACCCTGTTTGGCCCGCTCCACGTTGGATACCAGGCCTGTGACCTTGATCACGTCCAGCTGCTTTTCTGGCTGCGGCACCCAGATGTTCACCTGCACATGCAAAACCACACAGACAACATGCAAACAATCAATTAGAGATGACTTGTGTTGTTTGGAAGTCTCCTTTAATTACACTCCAACTTTTTTCCAAATCAATACGGTTGATGAAACGATCGCAATAACTAAGCATTTTTAAAACAGCTTCTCTCATTACATCACTGACGCAGACCTTCTGACCAGCAGTGTGAAAGGTCTCATGGCCAGAAGGTGGCACCAGAGCGTGTAAACTCACCTCGTATTCCTCCATCATCTTCCTGATCCCACTGCCCTTCTGGCCGATGATGTAGCGATGCAGCTCGTAAGACACTTCCACGTCCTCCGTTATGGGCACCAGCGCCTGAAGGAAGAGGCATTGACAGGATTATTACTGAGGAAATGGATGATGAAGAACAGACAGCATCATTCCTGGAATTAGATTACAATGGTGCTTACAAGGAGGGCGGCTTTAGCCAGTTCACACTTCTCTGCACGCCCAGCAATCGTGATGATGTCACACTTGCGGGGCACGAACTCCACTTCTGGGCTGACCTCACCGTTTTCTTGTGGTGGAGCATCCGGACCTGGAAGTTTACCACAGATGATGGATTAAAAGCCAGTTTATGCCTGTTTCCTGTGTAAACATAATACGACTTTGCAATTTCCTTTACTGCAAATACAGTAGTTTTCTCCACTGGCTGCCATATTGTGGATTAAAATATCACATGTTAACCTTTCTCAAAGGTGGTAATTTCTAATCTCGACTAATTTACAATGATCTGCCTTTTTTTTTTAGTTATATGTTCATAATGTGTCACTAGATATAATTTCTGTGCTCTTTTCTGCTCTCTTTGAGGTGGCAGCATATTAACAACAGCATTAGCATGATATCTGCAGGTACACTTGTCTTGTGTGTTGTGTTTCTAACCTGAAGCGCTGTCGTCTCTCTCTGGGAACTTGATTTGGACCTCGTGCTCCCGGGTGATGTGCTGGATACGGCAGCCTTTAGGCCCCATGATGGCTCGGTGGTAGCGCTGAGGGATGGCCACCTCCACACTCACCTGGGACTCCTGCTCGAGAGAGAGGGGAAGGAGAGAGCAGACAGCTGGGTAACAACAACAAACACATATCATGGGTTTAGGAGGATTACTTCCATCACTTCTGGATGTGAGATCATTGAGCACAACAGGACATGTTCGCTGCGCTCAGATTTTACCTCTTGAACCTTTCTAATATTTAAAATGCAGCTACTACTGGCAAAATTTCAATACTTGGATGCAACTACTTTGATTTAGCTTTGACCTAAACAGCAATATTCACCTGTGCAGGAAAGTACAGGAAAAAATTGTTTAGTGATGACCTGAATTTCACCCTGTATCGTTTCTTAATTTCCCCAAACACTCTTACCAGGTCCTCAATGATCTCCTGGATGCGTTTCTTGGCGGCCTCCACGCAGTCCTTGGCTCCCTTCAGAGTGACCCTCTGACTGTTGGCTCCCGTGCGAGGGAAGCTCACGGCTACTCCACCGTACTCCTCCGCCAGCTCCCGCAGCACCTGGCCTCTCCGACACACAAAGTGCCGGTGGTGGCGAACATCTACTACCATGCTGTCCTCCACCACGTCATCCTGGAGAGGAAGACAATAAATAGGGCAGATGGTTAAAAAATAAAATGCATGAAAAATCTAGGCAGATAAAAAGAGACTTTTAAAATGAACATAAGATGAATGAATAATTTCAACATCAAATGCAGTGTAGTAATTACCAGGTTTTTAACCAGACTTTCCAGCTCCTTTTGGGCCTGACGGACGGCTTCTTCCTTCCCTACGATGGTGATCAGTTCCTGCTCTGTGTCATCCGGCGAAGGGAAGATGATGCGAGCCCCCGTCTTGTCCCGTACACGGCGAATATTGGCCCCACCACGGCCAATCAGGAATTTATGGTACTCTGGTTTGGCCTGAAGCTCAGCTGTGAAGTTGTTGACTTGCTAAAAACGGCAAGAAGTACAGAAAGGAGGACAGAGTACAGAAAAAGGGATGTAAGTATTTGGCGTCTCTTCGCCTCATCTCCATGGTAACTCACTTCTCAGTCATTCTGAGTCACCTCATCTGTTCATTCACTCTTTGTTTCCATCTCTTGTAACGTTTCTGTCCCCACTCACCTTCTCTTCAGCCAGCTGCAGCAGCTGTTTCTTGGCCTTCTCCACTTCACCGGCGGGCCCTCTGATGGTGACCTTGTCCGAGCCGGAGCCCTCGGAGGGAAAATGGATGTGGACACCGCCGCAGTCTTCCATGATGGAGCGGACGAGGCAGCCCTTGGAGCCAATCAGAGAGTTGTGCAGCTTGGCAGGGATGGCAACCTCTGTCTCCTTGATGTTGGCCTGAAGGGGTGACAAGAGAAATGAGAGTCAGGGAGATGTTGGGATACAGCTGCAACTGCAGTATTTGTCTTTCACCTCATCCTGCCTTCATATATATATATAAAGGAATATTACAACTAATATTCAGACAATATTCAGATAAACTTTAATTCTTCTTTAATTAATCTAAATTTGTTGGGTTGCAATTTTGGTTATATTTGATTTAAACTTATTTAATTGAGCATGGGGGTGTCTTAACACTGTTTATCTGCACACACTCCCCAAACGGTGGTGACACAGAACTGGTTGAAAGTTTTTATTATCAAAACGTAATCTAAATCATGCATCCATCTCATGTCAAATGTCAAGTAACTTTTTGTGGGGACCATGAAAGAAGGAAACTGCAAAAGAAGAAAGATCTATTAGCTACAACAAATGACAGAAAGAGTCTGACGTCTCTCACCAGTTCTCTCTGGATGGAAAGGATTCGATCTCTGGCTGCCTCGCAGTTGCTCTTCTTGCCCGTGATGACGATCATCTCAGAGTTACTGTTCTCTGTCGGCAGGTCGATCTTAGTGTTGGTCTCTTCACGGATCTGGTGACATTTTAAATAAAGGTTTCAGCCATTATGCATATTTTCAATATTGGTTCATTTCATTATACGGCTTAAAAACTAGAAATCTTAAACTAAAATGAATGCTTAAATTTAAGTGATCATTTTCACATTTTCAAAATGCACTTCTCACCTTTTTGATGTTGGCACCGCCCTTACCAATTATGTTTTTGTGAAACTGCTTAAAGATGGGAACAGAGAGCGAGAAGCTGTTCTCAATCTGAAAGAGAAAGAAAACTGCTGTGAGGTCAAGTGTAGGCAGACAGAGGCAGATAAAGAGACGGGAGTGGAGAATGGTGGGTCGTACCAGGTCGGCGATGATTTTCTGTAGGAACTTTGCACATTTCTCCACCTCATTCTTCGGCCCTCTCAGCTGGACAATGTCACTCTTCTGTGATGGGTCTGGGAAATTGATAATGACCTGGAAGCAGATGAGATACTGGTTGTCGAATTAAATTAGAACTGGAGAAAAACAAATTATCGCACAATGATGAATGGACGAGATAAAGTGCAGGCAGGGTCAGAGACGATCACCTCAGGGAACTTGTCTCGGACTTCTTTGATCTTTTCTCCCTTCTGGCCGATGATTGTCCGATGGAACTTCTGCTCCACGATCAGGTCTTTGGTGCGCTCGTTTTCCTGGAAATCAGGAAAGACAAGTGTGAGCAGGCGACTTTGGATTCTGTGTACGGAGCTTTTTATTGGCCAGCAGAATGAATGAATGAACCAACCTAAACTTTGACCCCATTCTCACCATTCTCTGGACCATCTCAATGAGCTCTCTGCGTGCCAGCTGGACTCCTTTAGGGTCTCCCTCGATCCGCACCAGGCCACTTCGTTCAGAGTCCTGGGGGATACGTACCGACACTTTGTACTGCTCCTTGATCCGGTTGACTGTCATAAGGGGGATGGAAGGTGTGAAAGAAGAGTTAAAATTAGGGGGCTGCATTTTCAAAGATGTGCCAGAAGATTTTAAGCCAAATCTTTTGAGGATAAAACATTAATCCTCTGCAGGAAAGGTTTCTGTGAAGAGGATGTAGCTCTGTCTGTCATGGAGCACATTAGCTGTGCTCAGCTTGAATGTTTATGGTGCGTCAAACTGTTCACACAAACTTGCCACAGCCCTCCGTCATCATAATCCACTTCTTCTTTCTACCGTTTTTTTTCCCCGTTAAAGGTTTTTTTTTTGGGGAGTTTTTCCTTATCCGCTGCGAGGGTCATAAGGACAGAGGGATGTTGTATGCTGTAAAGCCCTGTGAGGCAAATTGTGATTTGTGATATTGGGCTTTATAAATAAAATTGATTGACTGATTGATTGATTCTCTGCTTTCCACTCTAAAAACTAGTCTCTAACAAAGTCCACTGTAAGTCACATTAATTCAGGCCGACCACAGCCACTGTGCTCCAGGACGGCTGAAACTGAAACTGAGACTGTACCATATACCATTATACCGCACTGCATCAGCGTTTCTGTGAAAGCCACAAATCAGTGGAACACCTTGCCTGACGATGTGAGGAGCTGAAGCTCTATCAGCACTCTCAAAATCAACTTAAAAAATCTGTTAAAAGCTGCTCTGCTCTGCTCTGTGCTCACTGACCTTGATTTTCATTTTATGGTCTTCATGATTTGCTTTTATTTAACAGGCATACATTTGTGATGTGCTACTGTGTGTAGCTTTGTAATGTGTGTCTTGAGACAGCGAAAATCCACAGGACGAAGCAAAACTCAGAACGGATTTTTAACTGAGAGATGAACAGGAAGATCTGGGAGCTGGTAAGGCGGAGTGAAGTTTCCCACAGTTCATTAACACATACCACTCACACTGCTATGACACAAAGCTGGCTAAAAATCTGCAAAGTATCCCTTAAGGTTTTGGGGCGTGCCAGATTGCCTGTCAAGACGCACATAATAACAGCCAACTCTATTTTCAGACTGTGTCATGGTATGATCATTACAACAGACACACAATGTGAGGATGCCACAAAAGATATCATCGTGTATGGTGGAACCAAGAATTTGACGCAGGGTCTCTTCACTGGGTGTCTTTACTCAGCGGCATAAAAACTTACTGAGTCAGTGGCTTTAAGAAAAAAAAAAAAAAACAGAAAAAGAAACGCCTGCTCCCACTGACATCTGAACTCTAAACCTCAGCAGTGTCGATGTCCCAGATTTTTTTCTGTTGAGATCAGCAGAACCGAAGTGTACTTACTGTTGGCTCCGTTCTTCCCGATAAGGTGTCTGTGGAAACGCTGGTCTATGATGACTTCGGTGTAGTCCATCCTCACCAGCTGAACACAGAGAGCAGCAAGATTTGTCAATGACACTGTTCCTTGAGCTGCAGTACTGAACCTCATCAAATCTGTATCTATTTTGTCTCATTCTCTCTATCTCTCAGCTTTCCAAACATTTCATCATCTCTGCTACATTTTTCTTTTAAGATAACACAAAGTTTAACAATAACAAATATAAAACTAGAATTACAGACTCGCGGATGAATGCCACTGTGAACCAGGCAGGTTACAGTTTACATCCATGTCTGTCCAGACTCATACTGTACTGTATGTAGCCATGACAGTTGACGATGGTTTAAATATGGATGTTGCAAGTGAGCAAAACGTGGATGCTTCACACACGTCTCCAACTCGGCAACACAGAAGAGTTATAAAATCAGCTCAGTTTCAAGATGGCCACCCAAAATTAGAGTCCCCATTGCAGTATCAGACCAAATGTCTCCCCTTCTGTTCCTGAGTTGTGGCGCTAAATAATCATCAGAAAAGTGGTTCTGCAGAATACTATTATGTCACAGTGCAGCTGACTTTTCGATCTTTTGGATATAAAATATCATCTTTTTATTCAATTAAATATTTGGGTGAAATTTTTGCCATACTCTGCAAATGAATTCTTGAGTTACGGCCCAAAACGTGTTTAGTTAGAACACAATGACCTTGAACTTTGACCACCAAATTCTAATCAGTGCATCGTTGATTCCAAGTGGACGTTTGTGCCAAATTTGAAGAAATTCCCTCAAGGTGTTCTTGAGATATCACATTCACGAGAATAAGATGTCTGCAAGGTCACAGTGACCTTGACCTTTGACCACCAAAATCAAATCAATTCCTTATCAAGTCCAAGTGGATGTTTGTGCCAAATTTGAGGAAATTCGCTTCTTCCAACAAGTGACTAGGAGTTAACTCTAGACAACAATGCCCCATCTTATTTTGGGATGTTACAACTACCTTGAAATGAATTCTGTGGGAAATAATATCAGGAGCATTTGACTGTGTTATGAGCTTTTTTACTAAAGCAGTTAGTCATCAAAATTGATCCTCTTATCATAAGAAATATCCCATCTAAGGCTGCAACTAACAGTTGTTTTCGTAATCACCTCATCTGCTAATGATTTTCCTGCTTATCTGACTCAAGGTTTAATCTATAAAATGTCAAAACATGGTGAAAAATGCCAATCACAATCTCGTGAAGCCCAATATGACACTTTCAAAGTGCTGGTTGTATCTGACCAAAAGTTCAAAACAATATTAAGTCAAAAATATGAAGTTTACCATGATATGAAACAAAGAAAAGCAGCAAATCCTCACATTTGGACAGCTGGGGCCATTTCTACTTGAAAAATGACTCTGGACAATTAACTAATCAACTGACCAATCCAATAGTTGACTAATCGTTTTAGCTCTAATCTCATAAATTAAATTTGGGTTAATTACAGATGCAGGGCCCTACAAAATCAATTTATGTTTTTCCAAGTTCCATTTTATTTTTTCCTAAATTCTGTGCTTTTAAAAAAAAATTCTGAACCCTGTGTTTTACGATAGATTGCATAAAATTTCAACAATTAGAAAATATTTCTATGACAGATGACTCTGTAGTGTGTGCTTGTGTGTGTGAGTACTCACCAAGTCCTTAATGATCTCTTGTATCTGGGCCTGAGCCTGTTCCACCTCCTCCGTTGGCCCCTCCAGACTGATTCGCTCCTCACCGTCCGTAAACTCTATGTGAACCTACACAAACACGCACGAATAAAGATAAACCAGTGCATTGTCTCGTGCCCCGCATTGTGTTGATTCCTCCTTGCTTCAGAGTCAACAAAACAAATCTCAGTTCACGCTACAACTGTCACTTCTAAATTATCCGTGACCTCCGACATAACATGCACTGTTCAAAGTACACCCCCTCCTCTCTTCATCCCCCCTTACCCGTGGTAGCTGCTGTGTGATCCGCCCGATGTTCTGTCCTTTCTTGCCGATGATGAAGCGATGCAGCCAGGCCGGAGCAGTCACCTCCACCACCATCACACTCTTCGCCTGCACAGGGACAAAAGACTTACGAGTAAGAATCCTATTTGTATTCACACCACCTCACTGAAATGTCGGAAGAAGTAATCACTTATATAGTTACAGACTGATTCACCTAATTTCCACCACTGTCTGGAAACTGAAATTGCATTAACGTATTTCCGTATAAAAGAAGACCTATGATACGTCTTCTTACTTTTGTCAAACCAAATGTTACAATGTCAAATGGTCGTATTAACGTGGCTTAAGTTCCAAATAATGAGGTAAACGTATGTAAAAGTGATCCCTGTGAGCAAAAACCTCAGGCTTAAAGAGACAGGTGCTACAATGGAGCGTTTCAGACAGAGGGTAAATACTGGTGTTCCAGCACCGACAGTCTGAGGAAAATAAACTGTTAATTGACCCTTGAATGTAAACATGTTGTAGAATCAACCCAAAATAAAAACATGAACCTGAAAATGTGCATAACAGGTCCCCCGTAACATTGGATCAAATGACTAGATGTAATGCGAGAGGGGTCGCTCACAGTGGCGAACCCACAGGTAATTATCATGTACTCTCAGCCTCCCCTCTCCTCCTCACCTTCGCATACACCTGTGTGAGCGCCGGTCCCAGCTTATCGGGCTCCCCCCTGAGGATGATGGTCTCTGAGCCAGAGTCCAGAGGGGGCATCTCCACAGACACCCCCGTGGTCTCCAGGATCTCCTGCAGGGTGTTGCCCTTTGGACCGATGATGTACTTGTGCTGAGACTTCTTCACCTCCACGGAGATGGTGGTGGTCTTCCTCTTCTGCAGGGCGGATGGGGAGAAGATTAGAAATGATGAGCGAGCAGCATTGAAAAGATGACAGCGGTGAAAGGAAGGACGGCAGGAGGAAGTGAGCAAATTGAGGAGAGCAGTGAGGGATGAATGGGAACACAACAGGCGACAGAAAGAAGAATGACAGACAGGAAACAGGAGGGATAGAATGGATGAAAGTTGGCATGAGTAGGCGGAAAAAGGAGGACTGATTGACAGAAGGAGAAGAGGAAATAAGAAGGCAAGAGGTGAGCAGAGCGATAAAGAAGAGTGATTGAAAGCAAGAGGGCAATGGAGAAAATATTTGTTTTTGCCTCTCATGCATATGCACTAAATGACATTAGCATTCCCATTCTGTTGTTCTCTGGTGAAATCCAATTTTCTCTCCACACTATCTCCGGCCTGCCTATCACCAGCACTCATCTGGTATACACAAACAAACACACGCTTCCTCTCCACGTTTTATCCATCTATCTTTCAGAGTTTCTTTTGTGTGATAGATAAAAACCTCCTTATTCTGAAAACACACAGTTTATCTAGCTGCACTAAACATTATTATTACAAATGAGGTTTAAGATCCAGGCGGCAGAGTGAACAACTAAAGTGAGACTGTGGTGAAGACAGAGCAATAAAATCCGCATCTGCCATCACGTGTCGAGCCATGAAGCCAAAACTAAACCCCAATCTGCTCCCTCACAGCAAGTCGTTCCACGTAAGTCGAGCACAGATCAAAGGCTGGCATTAATTACTGAACTAAATGTCTGAATGATCCAAGAACAACAGCAGGTAGGGATGTAAACAAACAATTGAGACTTGTCTCAAGTGCTTGACCCACTTTCACTGTCACTAATCCAATTTCATGCTTTGTTTGGTTCCTTGTTTGCTTCTCCGTCTAAACTACAATGCTTACATTGATATGGTTGAGGATACTAGAAGTGATAGAATGAAAATATCTGCAGCACCTAATCAAACAAATATGTAGATGAACTAGAAGTACCGCCTTGTGGTTGCATGCCTTCACAAACTAGTCAAGTTGCAAGTAACAGCGTGTATCCATGTCTACCCAGATGTGGTTTGACAGTAGACAACGCTTCAAATATTAATGTTGCTGCAAAGATGTAAAAGAAAATTCACACCCATCTTCAACACGGCATTACAGAAGATCTAGACAATCAGCACAGTTACAGTTACCCCGTTACAGTACAGGGTTCATGGTCTGGTGTATGCAGCCGCACCAACAATACACAGTATGTCAATTAATGCGCATAACATGGAACCAAAGTTCAAAGGGGAGTTAAGCCCAGGAATTTTTAGCTGTATCCTGTAAGGAACATACGCTGAAGTTAACATTCAGCGACACGCCGGAGGTGGAAGACCAACCTATGGATTCCCAGTCAGCTACAACAGCAGCAGAGAGAGCTGTGTATAAGATGAGGACGGTGTTGGTCTATCACTGCAGAGTATGTGAATGGAAACACGTCCAACATGCTAACACACATTCAACAACGTTCGACACTCACCCAGATGTGCCGATTACAGGGATGATGAATGTCTGGGCGCTTTAAACGTTTAAATGTATGAGATGCTTGTGACCTGTTGCCTTTTTGGAAAGTGTTTGTACAGTGTCCGTGCAGTTTAACCCACAAGTGTTTGAAATATCTATTTATAATGAAAATAATTGACAAGTTGTAAGCGGGCAAAATGCTACATCAGTCCCCAGCAGGAGGAGTTTGTCTGTCTGATGCTTGAACTACTGTCCATTCAAAATACTTTAAAACAAGTGTATCCTTATGCTGTTTTTTTCAGCTGTACTGAACTCCCACTGAACTGTGATTTATAATCTGGGGTATGAACTAGACCATGACTTTTGTTCACTGTTACACCCCTAGTAAAAACAGAGACAGCAAACAAGGGAGTAGACAGAGGTGTAGGCCGTGAAATAAAGGTCCCCAGCTGGAGCGTGAACGCTACAGTCACATGGTACACGTCTTTATCATTACTCCACCAGGACACTAAGATAGATCGCAGTTAGATTAAAGACTGCTTTGCACAAATGGAGATAAAAGCTCTGTTGTTTAAGCTGTTGCTGAGCCACTAATGACTTTGAAAAGAATCAATTAAACATTACAAATCAATTCTAAACTCAATCAGGAGCCAGCGTGAGTTAGAGTGGAGTGATACTATGAGGCTACTAAGGGCTCAGGAAACCGCTTCTTCTGAGCGAACACACCTTGTCGTCGTAGATGGCTCGGATGCGGTTCAGCGCCAAGGCGACGGCCTCCTTCTCCCCGGTGATGACAATCTCGTCCTTGGGCAGGCTGGGTGGGGGGATGCTGATGCGAGCGCCCGTCTCCTGGCTCAGCTCCTGCACCAGGCGGTTGTGGGCGCCAGCGATGAAGGGGTGGAAGGCCTTCTCCAGGGACAGACGCTCCACTGCACGCTTGTCCTGGTGAGCGGGTGAGTGTGACGAGGAGTTGGCAAACAGAAGAGTCAATCAGGCAACAGAATATGTAAACAGTAACTGCAATGTTTGGAGAGGCAATAAAGTAGAATCTAAAAAGAGAATTCAGCAGTAATGGCCGAGTCACACCCAAAATTAATACTTGATGAATGTATCAAGCCTCAACTCAGTCTGGTTTCAGGCCTACTTTAAAAAAAATCACATCACAGACTGAACCCTGCAGCTCACCTGTTCAGCAGAGATCAGAAGTATTTCATGTCGAGCCTTCTCGATGCCCTCCTTGGTGCCAGTGATGCGGATGTTGGCGCTGGGGTCGTCAGGACGTGGAATAGCGATCTTGGTGGCGGTCTTAAGCTCCAGCTCTTGCAGCTTCTCACCGTTCTTACCGATGACGAAACGATGGTGCTCCTTGGGGATGGTGACCGTAGCTGAGGCCTGGGGGGTAGCGGGACAAAGGGAGTTAGATTTGCATTGTTACACATTGTGAAACTGCGGTAGATCAGTGAATCTGGGCTCATTATCTTGCCTGAACTGATTTCATTTGCATTATATGAATCTCTCTTTGGAGTTAACGTTCAGACATATCCATAAAAATCTACATTTGTAGATGTAGCAGCTTCAGTGTCAACATTTATGATATTAGAGGCGAGAGTATTAGTTTTCTAGTTCATCACATTCCTAGTTCACCAAGGACAGCAGTTGGATGAAACTTAACTGTATAAATGGAATATGTGAGTTTTCAGTAGGTAAACAAAAACAAAAGCATTCGACCTTGCGAAGAGGACAGAGTGTTTTTCTGCACTATTGTATCAATAACTGCAGCTCAGCTAAACAGGTGAACCTCAGTGCACCAATTGAAGTGGAAATCAGCATGTTTACTGCTGAAGCCCAGAAAGGCCGCCCACGGGAGCTGACGGTCATTTTTCAGCTCAACTTTTTGTCCTAAAGCGGCCTGCCTGCACAGATAGGATTCTTCAAGCTGCAGCTAGAACGAAATATACTATACGATTCAGTGAGGGCGTAAAAGGAGCAAATACCACTAAAAGTAACAGATTGAAATTAAAACCTCTCTGATCACTTCACTTTAGGTGGTGATGTGACTCTTTGTTATTCCTCAAAGAAACATCTGTTACCCGCTGGTATTTTTCCCAATGGTATTCACCATCAAGACAAAACCCCCTTTTTCATATTTCGCTCACTGCTGTGTGAGGTTCCAACATACAGCAATGCATAATCCCTAAAAAACAAATTGTTCAACAGCAGCACCCAACGTGCTTAGACCAATACACTGTCACACAATGTACCAAGATAAATAGGTAACAAGAGGCATTTTTAAATTGGCAGAGTGACATTAATTTTACTGAAGGTGATAATCTCACGACTGTGTACCACTGTGTGACAAAGCTCACAATGGCATGCAGAAGCAACAACTTCTATCCATTTTGATTTGGAAAATCAATTTGCTGTTATTTAGCAAAGGAAAGATGGCATTTTTAAACAGATCTAGTCAACAAAACAATCCTACCACACACTCAGTCTCCCACAATCCAACAGTGATGACAAACTATAAGCACAAACAACTGCGGTGAATTTACCTGCGTCTGCAGGCGAGCTACGATTTCCTTGCGAGCCTTCATGACAGAGTCCAGTTTGCCGGTGACCATGATGGACAGACCCTGGTCTTTGGCCAGGGACAGCTCAATGTGGGCCCCCGTCCGCTGCATGATGTCCAAGCACACTTTGGCCTCCTCACCCTCCCCGAACTGGCTGTTGTCCTTGTAGCGACGCTCCTCCAGGGGCACGTGGAACACCTACACACAGAGGGGGTGAGCAGAGAGGAGGCTCAAATTTCAGGCAGCGTGTCTCACTTGCGTTATCTCCCATAAGTGGTGCATGTTATTGACCACTAATGTGGCTTGTGGCAGAATTTAGTTACTGTCAAAGAAAAATGTAAAGAGCAGAGGATGTTTTACTTTAATATCTTTGTAGTATTGATGCATGTAATTCTTGGTATGAATGATAGTCATTATTACATTCAAAGCAGTTTGCAAATTAGAAAGTGGGTGTCTACAGTAACTCATCACATGTATACTTGTGTACAGAGTCAGCAGCTGCCTGACCTGGGTGATGACAGAGGCTTTGATGGGCCTGATCTTGCTCCCCCACGCTGAAGCCGGCTCCCCGGCCTTTTCCCCTGGTGCCCCCTTCTCCGGCAGCGGAGGGAAGGCCTCCAGGTAGGTGGGGATGTAGGCCTCATCCTCCGGGACACAGCCTGGCCCAGAGAGACAAAGATAAATAAGGCAAAGATGGAGGCAGAAAACAGACCGCATGTGTGTGTGGAGAGAGGAGGATCATTAAAGTTAAGAAGAGTTGAGACGCAAAACACCATAACTCAAAAATTATACCAGCCTCAGAAAAAAAAAAAAAACATTCATAAAGTATAATCATGTATGGTACAAGAAAACTGAGAATACAAAGCAAAGACACGTAGAAGACCTGATTTCTTGGGCCAATAACTGTGACTAGCTTGGGCGACTGAGGTGAAAGCCTTCAGTCAAAAGTAAAAACAGGTTAAGTGAATGGCAGGCAAGACGTTACCTGTAATCTCCTGGTCCTTGAGGCCACTGCGGTGCTCCGCAAAGCTCTCTGGGGTCAACACTGCCACTGAGCTCATGGTTCAAGACTTATTCCGCTATTCCACTACAGCAGAGAGGTGTTGAGAGATGGAGTGCAAGATAATAAGAACAAATGGTGCCATCTCTGAGGAAGACATTAGCTGCTGTACGTGCAGGAAATGTTATATTCCTCAAGCACTAACTGGACAATTCAACAGCAAGACGCCATCAGAAATACAGAAGCTCGTTTCAAACTGTGTCTCTGTCATTGTTCTTCTTCCCTCCCTCTAGGATTCTTTTCACAAGCCCCAGAAGATTGAGACTGCCTCTGTGGCATTGCTACACTGCACCGGTGCTGCACGTTACACCTGAGATGCTCCAATTAACACTTTACAAGCCTCAGACAAACACACATTGCCAAAAAAGCCTCGGGGACAGGGTTATCACAAGTCATACGCCAAGAGCTGTCTTAGTCTAAAAACAACTACTGCGGACATTCCTTGTGATTCAGAATCACAGGATCTTGTCAACAGTGGGTCCTCTCTGAGCATTTTGAAAATCAAAAGACTGCAAATCATTAAGCTGCTGATTCCCTGGCTGTGAATGTTAGACCATCTTTATGAACACAGAAACAGTCTCATGATTTAGGGAGGATTTTGCATTTTTATGGCGACTAACTGCTGGTGCAGCAATAAAATAAAAAAATCATTAAAATGTAAAAAAAACCGCACTTTTACGAGACCCTCATAAAAATTGTTCTCTAATTAACAGATGATGAAGGAAATGAGGACTCCTCTCTTACATCCCTTACTTGTACTCCTGGGTTGTGCCTTTAAGATGAAGTCTTTAATATCTTTGACAACCAAGATATTTTTCTCACTACATAAACAGCCATGCAAATCCATTCCCTTACTGTGCGATGCTTCTGGCTGAGCACAACAGCGACTTTGTGTTATTATCTAATATCTGTGACATGCTCCAGTAGGGCTGTTTCTCCTGAAATGTTACTGTGTACTCCCTATGTGTATTCAAGTCATTGCTGCCATGTGAGATCTGCGCCTGCTGGCAAACACTCTGCCTAAGCCCCTCTATAATAAGACAAAAATGTAACTACACTAACAAAAGTAGAAGATGCATCTCAGTGAGGAAACAAGCAAGTCTGGGGAAATATAGCAGGATACAGTAACACTGAGTCAAAGCTGTGGCAGATAAAACAGAAGTAGCTTTACTGTACTGTACAAAGTGAGCCCAGGCTTACCTGCAAAAGGTCAATTGCCAGAGAGTCCGTCCAGTTAGCGGCTACCGTAGGCGCTTCAGTGTGAGTGTGTGTTTCAGCTCCTGGGTGCACAGGATGGGAAAAAAAGGCTGAAAGTGAAGACTGTAAATCAAAAAGCTATAGAGCACGGAGGCTGGGTTAATACTGTGAACACCCACACTGCACTGCACCTTACACTGTCTGGATCTGATTCACTCTCCTCCCTTCTCCTCCCCTCCCCTCTCCACATCTCTCTGCCCATCGTCCCTCCTTTGTAGTTTTACAAATTCAACAGCCGAGGAAATCTGAGAGCAAATATAACCTGTGTTGCAGGAGAAACAAAGGACTGGAGCACACTGATCAATTTACAGCCAATTTACAAAAACATGATGCCTCTCACTAGTTTTTAGGTTCAGCCTTTGGTGTGTTATGTTGAGATTACGGGGGGTAAACGCACAGCAGCCAGTTGATCAGAATAACAAACTCATGCTGTGCAGCCAAGGATTGCTCAACTTTGTTAAGATTCTAGTGGAGATCTGAAAGTTTCCAAAGATACCAAAAATGCCAGGCTAAAGTTTTGGATATGGTGCAGCCAAAAAAATACACAGTGTTGGGTTTAAATATTTCACTAAGTAAAAACACCATAAAGCTTCAGTAAAGAAGCATAACGAGCTGATACATATTATATATGATGCCAACAAGAGTGAAGAAGATAAAATATTTGTCAAGGACTTAGAAATGGATCCAGTGTCTTTTATTCAGGGCCTCCCAAGTAGAAATATAACTGCTGCAACTAGCAAAAGGTTATGCAATATTCTTACTTGTGCTGCAAGGAAAAAATATGCTGTTACAGTGGACTAGTGATAAGGGCCCTTTTGTCAAGGGCTGGTGTAAAGTTATTTTTGAGCAGAATATCTTACAAATGTTTAACAAAGTCTGGCTGCCGTATCTGAATTATCTTGGACCTGATTCTTCTGTCATTAGTTTCCTGAACTTGAACTCCTGTAACCTGTGATTTACCTGCAACATAGACTAATTCCTGTAACTTCCTACCTATGTTTGTATTATATAGTTCATGGAAATAAGGAAGTTCAGTTGGGCATTGTTAAAATAAACAGTAAGAAAGATGCTACTTATGTCGAAACAAGGAGGATAACTGTATGTTAAGGGAAATGATGGCATGCAACTTAGTACATTCACACAAGTACTGAACATGCATTTAAATTGTAAGCCACTTCTACTGCACTACATTACAGATGCAACTATCTTACTCCATCTACATCCCCATCTCCAGTTATTCAACAGCAATAGCTTCTTTGCAGAAATAAAACTGTGCATACAAACACATTTATATTATTATTAAACAACTCAATAACAAATAGAGTAGCTTGAATTGGCTCCACCTAAACCAAATTCAACAGTAAATGGCTGCTTACACATGAATGCAGCAATACTAATTAGTGTAATTATAATGTAATGAAGTGACTGAGACATGAGTGCTTTTACTTGTTAAACTTAATGTATATTGTGCTGTTAATATGTGGGTATATTTACAACTACTTCACACACAATTACACAACAAATAAAAGCTCTGAATGGAGGACTTTAATTGTAGTATTTCTGCTTTTACTTAAGTGATTGATCACGATACTTCTTCCACCATTTGTAAAGGGGGTTAAATGAGTAACTACTGCTGCATGTCTCCTATCGTGGCTCAGCAGCACCTGCTAACACTTTGATAGCTAACCGTTATATTGAAAAGCGATGAGCGAGGAAACTAAAACAATATTAAATAAACAAAGGGCACTTGGCTTACTGCAACACAGTTTAACACTACGTTTAGCAGCGGCTGGGACTATTAATACCATTGCTGCTAGCTCTCAATTGATAAATAAGACATAAAGACGGTGAAATTAATCCAGCCATGCACCGTGCTAGCTAACAGCCCCGCTAAACGCATCTCTCTCGAGCCGACGACTTTATTGCTAGCTTGAGGATGCACTGCATGGCTGGTCCCGTTAGCTTAACGACTGTGGTAACCTCTGCAAACGTAGGCGAACAATTGGGTTTCAAACAGTAGCTAGCCGGCTTCGCTAAGCTAGCACACACCGCTGTGCTCCGACCTCAGCCGGGGGGGATGATTAGGCGCAAGGGCTTTCTGATAATCGGCTAAAAAACAAGCCAGGCGGACAGATAACCAGTTCCAGCTCTCTAGCCCCGGGGGCGCTAACCTTGCTAACCCCGGCTGCTTCTTGTCACAGTCGCACCGGCTGTCTCGCTACTATATGTAGACTTGTACACACTTCATATTTAGGTAAAAAGAGAAGATGAAATAAAGAGAGAATTCCTACCTTTCAGAGAGAAAATATAGCAGAGGGTGTGTGTCTGACAGGTGATGGTGTAAACACAGATGTGATTGGTCTAGGAGCATTTCCTCTGCCGGCGGAGCGATACCGGCATGCACTGCGACTCACTGAGTATAAAGGAAATGCCGCAGTATCTTTGCGCAACAGGAGCATCCAAGTTAAGTAGATCCAGGTGATTTTAGTCTCTCTATAACCACTCTGCTGTTATATTCAGATGTTAAAGAGCTAGACGTGGTGTCCTGAATGGTCATCAATAAATGAAATGATATTAAAAGTTTTCAGCCCTCTGCAACGTCTCACGTCCACCAAACTGACCGGGTCTACTTACCATTCATAATGGCCTGTGTGCTCTACAGGAGTCAGAGCATCGTACTTTCTCCCAGGTTATGCAGCTCAGAGAGTTAAAAATAAAAAATACTTATGGTAAATATAAATTATGAGAGTTAGTCCCATGTAATTAAATTGCAAAATAACCTCATATGTAATCAGTTACAGTTACTGAGAAAAAATATGTAATTTATTAAAAGCTACTAATCAAAATTTTAGTTTTTCAAAATTTTAGGGTCTAAATCTGAATATATTCTTTACATTTAAAACTTTATATATATAATATAACTTTCATTCTTTGCTATGCATCTTTTCACCATACTGGAATATCTTCTTTCTTTCGGACACTTTTCAGCTTTATTGCCCAGTTTAAAACATTTGTTAGAAAAGTAATAATTAAATCAAAAATAATTAAATGTGATAAGTTACATTACTTTGGTAAAGTAATTAAAATATTTACATTTACATTTATTACATTTTAACAGGGTAACTAGTAGGCCTTAATATTGTAACCTATTACATTTCAAAAGTAACCAACACTGGAGATAGTAATTCAACAAACAAGTCATAATTGTGGAAAAAAAAAAAAAAATAGAAAATAAATTAATGAAATGAAATAAAATTAAAAAAAATATCTTCAGTTGTGAAATACAAATTGTAAAAAAAATCATGATAGGCCAAAATAATGAGATATAAAGTTATGTCTTGGGTTACTAAATTTAAATCATTGATAATAACATTTAACTATCCAAGTCAAGTGTCTGATTACTAAGTAGAGTTAAAAGACAGTAAGTCAAGATTTTGACTTATGAAGCCCAAAATATGAGATAATACTTTAAAAAAAAAGAAGATTAGTCAAAAATGATGAGATAATAAGTTAAAAGTTTGGATTACTAAGTTTAAAATGTATTGTGACCAAAATTGTGGAAATAGTAAACCTAAAGTTAAAGTGATAAGTCAAAAAAATTGTCTCACCGTGAGTATTTTTATGTTTATCACATCTCTCTTCTTTTTATTTTTCTATTCCCAGGCTTCCATAACATATTGATTTGCATTAAAACCTTACCATTTACAGCCCAAAAATACTTTTGGACTTCACATACAGCAGTGGAAACAATAAACATCTCAAATAAAATATAATCTGTGAAGAATTCAGTTTCTCTAATCTACAGGACACTTCATGTCTGTTCCAAAGTCAGGCACTAGGTGGCGGTAGGACACAAAAGTAACGTACAGAGAGGTGAGTGAAGGGAGGGACGTCTCAGCAGCCAAACACCTCCTCCTGTGCACCTGTTAAGCTATGGTTATTGTATCATGTGATATATATTTACAGGCTGCAGTTACCATAGCACAATATCAGACCTGTGTCATTATGTGCTTGTAAAAAGTAGGTCTAACAGAATAATTATTGTGACAGCAGTGTGTTCAGTGTTTATTACTGAAACAAGCAGAGACTTTACTGTAAAGAACAGGTTAAAGTATAATAGGCCTGCTTTTGCAATACCAGCCATAAAAGAAAAATATTCAGAGGTTTATTATAGTTTCTGGGGTGTTAGACAGAAAGAAAGAAAGATGTGTGAAGTTCACAACAAACATATAGAAAGTGCCGGAAGTGTGAAATTTTGGCTTTCAAAATAAGAGTGCTAAAATGAAACAAAGCCTAATCATCAAAGCAAGATTTGTGGTTAAGAATATAGGATACAAAAAATTTACCATACAAGAGTAAAAGGGTAAAGCATGCAAGAGAAAAAAAATGAGAGATAGATTAATAGGTTGGAGTTGAGGATATTTTTGCGTTTATTTTATGCAGCACAACTTTTATACAGCGATATTAAATTAACAGTAGGTAGTGAATCTCATGCAAAAAATACAAAGATAGAATTCATAATTCTATTCTTGTGTGAAATAATGTGTGAATAAATCTCTTCATTTGTATTTACCTCTGTAGTTACCAACACTGTAGCACTGGAAATCCAAGTCCCGTCTGACATGTAGATTTTTTTTTAGTCACTTATTTAATTTATATTTAATTTTTTTGCTTTTAAAATAGTCTGTTGACATGTCTGTTTTGAAAATGCTTTTGAAAAGATAGGCTCAAGTGCATGCTGTTATGAAGGGCCCGATAGTGTACACTTTCATGAAGATATCGTCTCATCACATGAACACAGACTTGACATTGGATAACATTAACATACATATAACCCAGCAATCATCATTGCATATATATCACAAAAATGACCAAAGAGAGTGATGAATTATTAACTTAACTGAACTATTTTAATGGTTTACTACAGTTTATTTGGAATAATAATAATATATTTTTGTTATAGATACTACTGACTATTTCACAAAAAGAGTTAGGTTTACCTTTTTCAAGGGCAAATATAGCAAATGACACTGTTTTAAAACACTGGTTAAAATACACAACAGTTAAACAGTTTTAACAGCATTTAACTGTTTGACTCTATGAAATAATTGCTCTGAGGTAATTTCCTGCATGAGTTTTAAGTAACAATAAATACATTGAATTGAATTTCTAAAATAGATACATAGCTACATGCATGTATTCTTAACAACTATAGCCTCCATAGACAGAGGATAATTATACAGCTGTTAAGCATTTATTCCCAGTTTACATTGTTTTATTTTGAAAGCCTAACCGGAAGCTATAGAGACTACCGTGTGTGCCTTGTCGGTTGGAGCCCTCAGGGGGTTGTTGCACTCCTACCGCCCGTCCTCTCCTCTCATACATGCTGCTGGTAACAAAGGAGACAACAACAGGGGGATGATGGGTTCTCACACAACAAGCCTGTCACAGAAACAATAAGAAACTGAGCCGGTTCGCTTCTTCTACGCTGCGGATAATTTCAATAACACTATATTTAACTACCGAGTTAAGTTTAAAGTAACGTTACAGTAGCGCGACCTGCGCCTGGATCCATTTTAACCTACAACGTCTTTTCTTGCCAAAGCTAACCATGTTGGACTGCCAACAGTAGAGCTGAATTACTGAGGAGAAGGAGTCAGACATGTCTCATTAACATCGGTGAGTTTTCTTTCATATAAATCATATTTTAAATGAGATTAGTTTATAAATTGTGATTTAGCAGGTGCGGTTTGGTTGATGGTTGAGACTGGAGGCACCTGTTCCCTTGAGAAACCATTGTAATACATGCCAAAAGGTTTATAGCTTTGTACTGACATTATCCTACTGAAAAGTATTTATTTAAACCCCTGTGGTATTATTATTGAATATATGGAGTTGAATATATTGACATATTTTAATATTTTGTTAATGTAGGTAGGTAACAGCACAGGACTACCTTATATATAAGGCGATTTTAGGAATTCAAATAAGACAGTAGCAGGGAAACTTTTATTTTGACCATATTATAGACAGTCTGACCTTGACAATTAATTCGTCTTTATGAATTCAATGCTGGGAAACGATTTTTATTATAATTAATATACAATAGTTGGCAGCTTCACAACCTTATGTCCACATTTGCATATGTATAGGTAGGGTTTTCTTGTCCCACCTTATGTCACTAAACCAGATCTATTCTTATTCCTTTTTCCTGTATTCCCAACTCTTGTATGTGTGTGTATGAGTGAGTATGTGTGTGTGTTTTCCTTTCTGACACACCTTTTCCGTCCCCTCTTCCTGTCCAACGTGGAGCTTCCATACACACCACATGTACTGTAATGGTAGCTCTCTCTTAAAGTCCCCCTACCCATTTTGTACACAGATTGACCCATTAGTGTCCAGAGCAGATGGTATACTGTACACACACACACACACACACACACACACACACACACACACACACACGGAGAGAGTGAGCATTGTGTTAATGGACGCCCCCTTTAAGCACTTAAGGATTGTTCTCAAGCTGCTCTGATTTAAGGGATCACACCATATCTGATATTTATTGGATTTCCCCGGACAAACACACTTACTGAAATGAATGACTGGCCCACTGACCCAGACTGAGTGTGTGTAGGGTCCAGCAGACTGGAGGACGTAGCCATTGAACTAACCAGGTCAATAGAGCAAAGGGAGACAAAAGAGAAGTCTGGTGGGGGCCGACTGAAAGAAAGTGAATGGGGAATTGTAACCTCGAGTCTATTCTTTAACTTCTGCAAGTCCATTAACACACCATCAAAATGAGTTATCCCCACTGTGTGTATGAGTGCTTTGTGGGTGCACACACACCCTCCCGTTCGAGGTTTATATGTCACCCTGTGGACAATGATAATAACCAGAGGGCCCAAACAGAAACCTGGAAAGACTTACATTACACACACACACACACACACGCACATCGCTGTGGTGATGTCATGTTTCCCAGTGCCTGAGATTATAAAACAAGTTGAGCACTCACAATCAAGAAACTGTGTTAGAAAATGAAGATTGGTGCAGCACGGTTATAAAGGAGCAACGTTTTTTAATTAGTTCCTGAAGTTTTCATGCCATGCGTTCCTGCTCTGTCATTTTGTAATTACCTAATACGCACTATTTGTCAGCGCAGAAATATCTTCTCGTCAGACTGAAACATGAAGCCCTGTCTGTCTTTTTATTATAAGCTCACTGACTGCGCAGCGTGCACATCCCTTCCAAACTGGTCCGACGAGCTGGTGCACTTTCTCAATGACAAACAAGTACTGGCCGTGTGTTATTGACTCAAGTTACTTCTGTGGAAAAAACTCTGTAGACATCCCCAAAAAAGGTAGCTGCTGTCTGTGGTGCTTTTGTTCACCTGCT